TTGATTATTATCTTCTACTGATAATTTATAACACTTAGGAGGGTGCCCTTTTGCCTTGTGGTATTTTGGATTAGATAGTATCTGAATATTATCCAAAGGCTGTTGTGTATTATTGCAAATTTCAATATTAATATGTAACTCTTGCAATACATTGTTTTATAATGAACTAAACTGATAAACTTCTTCAATGTCTAAACCTGTATTATTATGATACTTCATAATAAATTGCATCAAAATTCCAATCAATTCTGCAGTAGTACTTTCTGCTACAGCTAGTATTTGAATACTTGTTTTAGCCAAAGACATTGTATTCCCATATTAAACTTTTTTATTAACACGTTTTCTTGCAGCTGGTGTATAAAAATTATTAAGTCTAATTTGATTAATATAATGTAAAGGTGTAGCTGTTTTACTTGTTTTTCCTTTGACAATTGTAATATTTAATGATTCTGATGGAATTGATTCAAATCAACGACTATAAATAAGAGATAAATGAAATACTGCTTTTTCTGATTGGATTAAAATTCGGTACTGATGTTTACATAGCATTCCCTGATTTATAATATACATACAAGTACAAAGTGATAATGAATCTTTCAAAATAATGACATAGTATGGTCTAAAAGGCTTATCTGAAGCAGGTACAATGCTAGATACTTCCCAAAGTTCTTGAATATCATCAGATAGTATGCCAGATAGTAATTCTTTTAAACGAATTTGTGGTACATTATATAATTGTTCAATTATACCATCAGGTGCATTATTGGATTCTTTAGTTTAAAAATAAAAAAAATAACGAAAGAATTAGTTTCTTTGTATAATTAGCATAAAGGCTCGTAAACTAATCAAAATAATCCTACCTTAACCTAACTAATTCTGACTCTAATCCTAACAAACCCTAACTTAATTAACCCTAACCCTAACCTTAACAAACCCTAACCTAACCCTAACTAACTCTAACCCTAACTCTAACTAATCCTAATAGTTCTCAATAAACTTATTTGATTAATAGAAATCATCATTCCTTGATATAGCAGTACTTGTTTTATTTGTGCTCTTTGAAGAGATAAAGAAATAAGAGCTAAATAACTTTTAATACATTATCAATCTCCTTAAATATACTGTTATAGGTTGATGAAAGTCTAACAGATGGATTTGATCCATAATAATCTTTAATACGAGTATATAAAGCTTCTTTTTCTAATTCATATTCAATTGCTATTACTAATTCCTTTAATAAAGTACTACGATCAACATGTTTTTTCAGAACCTCATTAATAGACTCTATATGTTGAGTAGATTCAACTCCTGCTGTAAAAATCTTTGTAATTGAATATCTTGCCCAAGCAGTCCGATTAAGATAAAGCTTATTTTCAAGATAAGAATGACAAGGTTCATATCTTATTAACATATTTTGATATCTTAACTCAAATTTTTTTTGGCTATAGCTGTTTCGCATATGATAAAAATCTTCAACAAATCTTTTTACTGAATTACCATGTAATTTTGACTTAGCCTTCTTTTTAACATTCTTAACAATATAATAAATACATAACAAATATTGTGTTTGAAGATAGATAATACGAATAGCAGCAATTACTGCAGAATCACCATCTGTAAAAATTACTTTAGGTGAAACATTATCAACTGATTTTAACATACATTGGAAAATCCATTCATAAGCAGCTTGGGTTTCATATTTAATTAAGGTTTGTCCAACAATTCTCGTTTTGAAATTATTATCAATACAAACAAATAAACTTAATGCCATATCATAACGATTTGTCTTTGCTGTATTATCATGGATAATCACGTCATGATATTTTGGCCATAAATCATTATGCTATTGGCTAGTCATCCAGAAAAGGCCTGTAAGTTTATTATTTGGACCCTCCAAATATGATATAACTATATAATCTTGATCTATATCACGCTGTTTCAGAAGATATGATAACATTTCAGCAGCATCAAATTCATTATGGATTCGTACACCTTTAAATTTGCTAATTGCATTATATAAATTCTTCTTTTTAATATGATGTTCTGGAAATTCTTTAGTCAGGAGATATTAAATCAAATCTAAGTTAGTCTAGTATAGTAGACTATATAAAAATATCATACAAAGCAAATTATAAATTAGATTATTAACTGTTGAGACCAGCTCCTAAATGATCAAAAACAGTATAATGCTTAATCTTACTCAAGATAACATGTGGAAGTTTTAAAATTTTCAGTGCTAAGTAATTAATTTCTGAATTATATTGATGATTATGATAATTTGAAAGTTGAGTGAGTTTTATAGCACTTGCACGTTTTCCAAAGTAAAAATTAACATGCCAGGCAATTTATTTTGCCTGAAACAGTATCACGATGAGTATTAATATCCTTAACTTTCTTAGTTTAATTTATTCCAAATTTCAAACAGACATATTCTTAGTGTTGAATAATGGACTTACTTGTCAATAGAATCAAGATCCTTGTGGTATTTATTAGTGACAAAACCCTGCTATTTTGCATATGCTTCAACTGCAATATGAACAGAATTCCAATCATCAAATAAATCACCAACCTGAAGTTTTATTTTATATATATCATCTTGGTTGGTATTATTTAAAACAATTTTACTATTCATGATATGTATATTATGAGTTAAATTTGAAAGGAAAGGATAAAAACAAATGAGTGTAATTATAATGTTAAATGGAAAGAAGGAGAGAGGATAGGTGGTTAAGAAAGTTTAATGAAAGCTTAATTTATTATCAATTTTACATCAGTATTACATCATATCGTAGAATTCTACAGCTATATATGATACTGGCAGTGTAACGCCAGTGGTGATACGTATCAATTTTATAAATAATATAATAATTATTTTACAGAAAATTATAAATATTAATAATTTTTATAATATTATAATATTTATATAATACATGAAATAATTCTTTTATTTTATAGAAATTAACATTTAGTAATATTAAAAAAAATATTAAAATAAATCAGTGCCAAAATTGTGGATAGATTAGGTAGTGACATTTATTACATAATATTTTAGGGGTGGAAGGGTATTTGAAGGTTATATAACATATAAGTTTAACATAAAATTTTTCATATTACATGAGGATGGGTGGGTATAAGTTTATAGTAAATAGATATTATATAATAAATGTCACTGCTCTTACTGTGAAATTACAAAGAGGATTGTACAGTATGTTATATAAACAGATTATAAAAAAAATTGATGATGAATCAGATTCAACTGTACAGTTGTAAGCTTTAAGTTTTATTAAGGATAAATTAATTCAGATTAAAAAAATACGTAAGTATAAAAAATATTATTAGGATATGAATATATTATTAAAAATATTACAGGTAATTAATTAGTAAATATAAAATAAAATTTAATTATTTAAAATATTACTTAAAATATTTTTAATTTAAAATACATTTAAAATATATTTAAAAGTATAAATTAAATTAAATATAATTTAAATAAAATTTTACACAAATTTGATTTTCAATATATTTAATTCTTAAATTATTTAAAATTCTAATATATTAAAATTCTTAAAATATATTTAAGAATTTTAAATAATTTTAAGTATAAATATTTTTTATAAATAATATTTTAAACAATTAAAGTTATATAAAAAAAAAAAAATAAATTAAATTAAAATAAAGAAAAAAAAAAAATTTATTAAAAAGTTATATTTTATAAGTTTATCAAAAAGTTATTTAATAAGTTTATTAAAAAACTATTTAACAAGTTTATCAAAAAGTCATTTAATAAGTTTATTAAAAAGTCATTTAATAAGTTTATTAAAAAGTTATTTAATAAGTTTATTAAAAAGCTATTTAACAAGTTTATCAAAAAGTCATTTAATAAGTTTATTAAAAAGTTATTTAGTAAGTTTATCAAAAAATTATTTAGTAAGTTTATCAAAAAGTCATTTAATAAGTTTATTAATAAGTTATTTAATAAGTTTATTAAAAAGTTATTTAATAAGTTTATCAAAAAGTTATTGAATAAGTTTATTAAAAAGCAATTTAAGAAGTTCATCAAAGTTATTTAATAAGTTCATTAAGGTTCATTAAAAAGTCATTTAATGAGTTTATTAAAAAGTTATTTAGCAAGTTTATTATAAGTTTATCAAAAAGCAATTTAAGAAGTTCATCAAAAAGCTATTTAATAAGTTCATTAAGATTCATTAAAAAGTCATTTAACAAGTTCATTAAAAAAGTCATTTAATAAGTTTATTAAAAAGATCAAAAAGTCATTTAATAAGTTTATTAAAAATTATTCAATTATTAAATTTTTAAAAAATTTTATTAAAAAGTAACTAATTTTTTAAACAACCAATTTTTAACTTTTTTTAAAAAAAAAAATTATTGTTTTATTTAAATAGTTAGGTTAAAATATAGAATTATTGTTTTGATTTATTTATATAAATATTTTTTTTTAATGCAAAATTTATTAAGAATTTTTACTATATTTTAAAATAGTTAACCTTATATTTATAAGTGTCAAAAATTTATTTTTAGTAACAAAAAATTTCACAAGCCTAATATAAAAATGGATTAGATTAAAAAAGATCTTTATTAAAAAATCAAATTTCAAATTTTTAAACTATACTTTATAAAGAAAAAAAAAGAAAACCTGAAAAGAAACTGGTTTTTTTTTTATATTATAATAAATTTAAATAAGGTTTGTTTTCATTTAACTAAAAATAAGATTTTTATATAGACAAAAAAAGCAAAAACAAGTTTTTTCCTTAAAAAGAAAATTCTCTTTCAATAAAAAAAAAAAAGAATTGATATCCGTTTTTGAAAGTGATTTTTTTAATTTCCCTCTACATAAAATTATTTTATTTTTTGTAAGCCGTTAAACAAGAAGTTTTTATTATATTATTTTGGACGTTATTAATAAAAATATATAAATTTTTTTTTTGCGCCCATCTCTTAACACAAATAAATGATCGATTATTATCTAATATAAATTGGGGATAAAAAATGATTAATGTTAGATCACGTGATATGGAACATATTTTATTTTTCTATTTTTCTAGAAGAATAAAACCAGGCAGTAACAACTTTTTAAACACGTTTTCGTTCATCATTCTTTTGAGAAAAAAATTAAATAATAAATGTTTACATAAACAAAAATTTTCCCAAGGAATTTTCTCGCTTACCAATTTATTAATCTTTTTTTTTTTTTAATAATAATTGCTTGTAAATCTTATGTTTTCTAAGAAAGTCTTTTAAAAATTCCAAATTTGTAGGAAATGTAATGTAAATCCCGATAGATAAGCTTATAAAAAATTGGGTGTTTTTAAACGATTGGTTCGTCAACGACCGAAATTCTGCAGGGTGAAAGAAAAAATTCGTTATTTAACGTTCATAAATGAATTTTCCGATGCAAGTGTTTTTCACACACTTGGATATTAAAAGACTAAAACAAGAATTTATAGTTTGTTGGGAAAGAAATTTTTTTCTCTATAAAGTTTTTCCCTTTGACTTTAAGTTTGGTCTCGTCAAAATTTTTATCATTAAATAGTCATATTCTTCCAAAAATAGAAACTTTGTACTTTTCATTAAAGTTAACAAAAAAATCGATAATAGTTAAATCAGGTTTTTCACTGACATATTTGTCGGCCTATCAAAATTCATCAAATTAAAAAGAAAAAGGTTTAATAAATGATGCAATCTTAAACTTTTTTTATTACATTCACCCCCTCGAATTCTATTATTTTATACAATGTAAAAATTTTTTGGCTTTTGAATGAGGATCATATGAACATGGGAATATCAATTTTGCTTGGCGGGAATATGACGGGTTTTTAGCGGGGTTAATAAAGGTTTTTTAATAATATCAAGTTAAATAATGGAATAATATATAGGCTGTGTGATTATCCAATGGGGGTGACAGATTATTCCGAACTTGTATAAAATTTTCATGATGTAATGTGTAACAGATGTAATCTGAGCTTAAAATGTTGTGATAAGCAATATTAAAAAACGCGTCGAAACTCGAAAACTTCGCCTCGATTTTTTCTTTTATAAGAAATAAATGAGATAAATTTTAAAACAAATGATGAAATAATTTTTTAAAATAAAAAAAAAAAATTAATTAAAAGATAAAAAAATATTTTTTTTTTTTTTTGTTTCCTGGATTATAAATTATTTTCGTCGTACTGACCAAATATACCCAAATAAATAATAATAAATAAAACTTCAATTATAGACAAAAAGAATAAAAAAAAATTTTTTTATTTATTACAAAGTTCATAATTATTATCGAACCTTTTTATATTTCATATTGTCATACATTAAGGAAGGAGGTAAAGGGAATGTGGGGTAAAAGATTGTTTGTAACCGGGGCACGAAATGGCGAGATTTAATTGACACAAATGTTACGCCAAACTAAGCTAATAACGGAATTTTTTTCCGTAAATTGCTGGCGCAGGCTAGTAATAATTTGGTTATGATTTTTTGATGCTCATCGCAATCAAAGCTTTTCTAAATTAAGATAAAATCTGCAATTATTTTACTAAAGTAAAATCTGAAAAAAATATCAAAAATATCATATATAAAAAAAAAGTATATCAACAAGTGAAAATCCCCGCACGCCCACAAAAATTTTTTTTGAAAAAAAAAAAAAAAAANGCTTTATTACTATAACGTACTTTCCATTTGCGCTCCGGCTTATTTTCAAGTATAAGATTATGCACCTTCAAGAAGGAAGTAGCATCGTTTTGTGACTCCCATTTTCTATCAGTAAACTTAGAAACTGGGAGAGAACATAATTGTTCTTTTTGTTTTTGGGTTAAAATAAGGTGTGAAGAAATTTTTAACATTTTAGATTGTAGGTCTCTGTGGTTATTGATTAAGAGTGAAAGCTTTTTTGTATTGAATTTTGGTTTCAAGTATGGAAATAATAGTATTTCATTCATTCCATACATAGAAAAATATACTACCTCAAAAATTTTCGAGTACACCAATTTTTCTTTAATTGATTTGTGATCCAAAATTCATCCTGATGTTCCTTTTTTTATCGTTAGATTGTGTGTAACCTAAATTAACCTATGTTTAAATTCAGAAATAAGGACCAACAACAACCCAATCGTTATATTCTCACGAGATTTTCACGTGATATTTATACATGCGATGATTTCCCCCAATAACACCATCAAATTTCACTATCACGTGACAGTGGAGAATATTCATCACAAGCTCTACTGTTCAGACATCCCTAACTCTTGGATTGCTTGTTTAAAATTAGCCATGATGATATTTTCTTACTTTTTATTTTACCACCAAACTGGGGATATGATTGAGCTGAAATACTTTGGTTAAAGTGTTGAATATTAACGATAAAAACAACCCATGAAAAAAAATTTCTAGACAAATCTGGATAATAGAACCAGACTAATACTATTCATCGGACAACTTCTGGATAAATAAAACTGGACAAATACTGGACATGAGAAAAATCCGGCTGGACAAATTCCGGACATGAAAAAATTCTGGACATATTCCAGACAATAGCTTTCAAAAATGGAAAAATTAAAAATTAAAAAAATGCAAAAAACACAAAACTGATGTTAAAAACCTCCCCCTGAGGTAATAAGTAAACTTGGAGAGCAACTAAAAATACTATCTATAATGTTAATTTAAACTTTGGATAATTGATAGTAAAGTCAGGTTACGGTGCATTTCGCCAAAACCCATTTCGCCGAAGCCAATTCGCCTTTCACCGAAGAGATATTTTGCAGAAAGAACATTTCACCGAAAGTGCATTTTATCGAATCTATTTCATCGAATCGTCCATTTCGTCGAAAATGGTAGCGATTAACATTTTATGAAAAATATTCATCGCGCAATGAAAATAAAAAAATAAATTATTTTTTTTTTCTTTTTGAATTACTTTTTCTTTTCTCTATGTAAATTATGAATGTAAATTAATCATTTTATTATTGTAATAATATCATGTACGTGAATGTAACTATTAAAAGAAAAGATATTTCATTTTGTCTCTTCCTTTCTTCATTGTGCGTGATTAGATAATCTGTTTATGGTAAATAAAATTTAAAAATTACTTCTTTCAATGACATAAAATTCGGGCGCAAATGCAGTGGCGCAGAAGGTGATACGAAGCCACAGAAAGTTAAGGTTACACAGTTTCAGAATTTACAAATGATGATAAAATTTTTATCTCTTTAAGCAGGTAAAAAATTGCTTTTGCTGATGATTTTCATGTATATAAGAATTTCTTTTATTCGCATTGATCAAGATTCACAACATGTATTGATCAATGAACAAAGAAATATTTTACTCTTTTTTGCAAAAGAATCGAGAACATTTTTTAACAGAACCTTCCGAATTTGATTTGGGCTGAATAACTTTAATAAATTTGTCAATTGAATAATTTCTCTTTTTGATTCTTTTTAACGCATAGATAACGTCCCTGCAATAAATGCGTACAGGGATCTGCGATGTACGGTATCAATAATTTATAAATTTTTAATGATTTGCAAAGTTATGTAATGTAATGTTGCAAGGTAATGTGCAATGTATGGTTTAAAGTAATGAAGAAGCAAGAAGCGGGTGGGCGGCATTTTTTTGTTCATTTTGTTATCAATTTTTGAATCTTATTGTACTTTAATAAAATTCCTTTTTTCTTCGTAATAATAAAAAATATTTGTTCTAAATTCATTTCATTACTTTTTTCCATATTTTGAACTTTCTTTTTTTCTTTTAACGGTACCGATCCACCGGGGAGGTTTTTTTTTTTTTTTCTTTTCTTTTTTAATATAATATATTTAAATAAGATAATTTTTCCGTTAATAGTAATTCGGCAATTTCTAACATTAATTGATTAATATGGTTAGTTTTAAAAATAGATAATCAAATCTTTATGGGCTTGGTTATATAACATCTCCGAAAATATACACGATAAAAACCGATGTACAATAATATGTATGAGTTGTATGAGTAACAGTAATCAATCTACTAATATATAAAACAAAAAGAAATTTTAAAAAGAAATTCTTCGAATTTTTCATTAAAAATAACGCCATTTTTTTTATTTATTTTCTTTCTGAAATTATTTTTCACATATTGTGATAAATAAAAAAAAAATTTTTCCAATATATTACCATGTTTGAAACTTTAAAATCACATGGCTTTTAAATCATCTAAAAAAAGGTCCTTTTAAAAAAAAAAAATAATAATTTGATTGGATAATCTTTTTACAAAAAAAATCATTCATATCTAAATTTAATATATTCATTCATAAATGAATTTATTAATCTTAATAAAGTAATTAATAATTAAATTATAAATAACTGATTTAACGTTTCTTTAAAGAAAGAATATTTAAAAACCGGTTAAATAGGATGTGTACCGGTTTTAGATGATCAATGAAATTTTGTACTGCAAAGTTTCGTTTATCTGTTATTATTTTTAATTAATCAAGTATCAAAAGAGATTATGCTCGATAATCTACAGTTGTAACGTTGGTAGAATCAGATAAATTAAAATATTTTTAAAAATCCTGGTAAAACTCAATTTCAGCCAAATGAAAGAGACACGTCGTACCTGTTGAACATTTTGTATTAACTAAATAAAGTTAAAATATTTTGACCGTTTTAGATTTTATTGATGGTAAATATTTCTTGATTATTTATTCTGCGTCCAATTAAACATGTGTAAGATTAACGTTTTTATTTTTTTCGCAACGCGAATCATGTGATTTCTGTGATTTCCGGTCGTGTACTCTCATTAATTACGATTTAATTGGTTGATCCACAAAAAAAGTTACGAGAATTAAGAATGAGTAATTGGGATAGAATCCCGATAGATAGATAATAATAATGTGAATATCGCCAACAATTTCCACGTTTTCAACTTGTTTTAGTATAAAAGTTTATAAAGTTTAGTAATGACTCATTAATCTCATTATATCATGTGAAAAATAAACAGTTAGTTATTGTACTAGTATTAGTATATACAAAATGATTATTTATTTGGTTTTATTTATTTTCCTTGTAATGAATATTTAAAAAATATTTGTGAAATTATCTGAAACTTGGATTTTGTATATTTTAGCCAGATTTGTATAATTGTAAACGTTTTTAAAACGGTTTATTTTTTCTGATTAGATATAAGATTAAAAGATAACTGGAAAAACTATTTCAATCATTAAGTTTATAGATAGAAAAAAGTACGTGATTTTTCTTTGCGATAGATAATTAGGATAAGCGGAATAAGCGGAATATGCAGATTAAGTAATAAATAGAATAAGTAACATTACGAATCACTTAATTCACACACTACTATTTCTTTTTAAACGTGAAAGAAAAAAAATTTTCTTATCAATATACTGTGATCTTGAAAGTAACCAATCAAAATTTTAACATATGAGTAATCAAACCATAGAAACAAGATCCCCGACGATGAATCTAAAATTAGAATGGTTTAATTATCAATTTAAAAAAAAATAATAATAATAATGATAATACAACAATTTATTTGTATTATTGAATTATACAAGAATCAATCAAATACCGGCAATCTTTTATTATATTATGTTCCGGGAACGATAATATATTTGCATTTAATAAGTTACAAAAATAGTAGTGATCCGTGTCAACTGTATGAGTCGGTGCAATAAGAAAATGGGAATCTGGCGTTACGTGAAATAAATTGTGTAAATGTCGTCATATAAGACTCGGATAACACAAATATTTACCAATATTACCAATATTACCTAAGGAATGGTATTAGAAAGAAAATATTAGTTGATCGACACCGAAATTATCGAAATTATATATGAATGAATTCACTATCTACCTTACAGATCAGAATTAGTCATTTATTCGAAATGATAAATATGAAACATTTATTTTGGTGGGAATTTTTTTTCTTCATATCTTTCTTCTAGGAAATACTTCTAGGAAATGCTTACCTCAAATTCTTTAGGTAATTCCTTCTGGGAAATGCTTCCCTTTGGTGAGAAAGCTTAAATTCTTTTAGGTAAAACAGTGGTAAAGCATAAAACAATAGCAGATCATTATGATTCGCTTAATTGTTTGATTAGGTCAGGTGTTGGATCATAATAATACAAGATCATCCGCTTACTGATATCTGAGCCAATAATATAATGCCAGTTCATCTCAAAAACCATTTAAAGAAACTATGGTAATTTTATATCTCCCATTTCATTCAAACTTAACTCATTGTATAATGTAATCCAATTCTCTCTTTCCCCTTTTCAACCATAAATAATTTTCTGACTTATCAATCGTAAATAATTCTTTACTCACATCATTTTTATCATTTTTTGATCATGAAGTTGCAATATTTGTTTTTGATTATACATACAATTATACTTATAATCGTTGCATATTTAGTAAATGATTATGTTCCGGATCCGTATATGGTAAATATTGAAGAATTGGCTTGATCGATTTTGGTTGATTTGAATTAATACCTTATTAATAATAGGATGAAGTATTTCATGTTTCACAAGCAAAACAATATTGTGAAGGGAATTATTATGATTGGAATCCAAAATTAACAACTCCACCAGGATTGTAGGTGATTTGATCTTTTTAATATGAGTTCTTTTTATTTCTTTTAGTTTAATGCAACTAAAAACCTTTTACTTAAAATTTAGATATTTAATAAGTAATTTAATCCTAAGACCATTATCATTATTGTCTACACGATATTTCTGTTCAACAAATTTTCTTCGAGCCACAAATGTATTATTTGGTATTGGATTGTATCTAATATTATGGAAATTGACGATAAAATTACATCCATTTCAAGATAGAGACTTATTGTCATTTAATACATTGACATTAAGTATATTTCCTGTTGGGTGGTTTTATAATTTTTTATATTACACTGATTCTGGATCAACTTTTTTTGTGTTATGGAGTTACTTATTATCTATTGAAGAAAGATATTGGATGAGTGCATTAGTAAGTGGTTTTTCTTTTCTTTCAAAGTATATTTTATATAAATTTTTAATTTAAACTTATATTTATAGGTTGGAGGCATTAGCGTATTATTTAGACAAACAAATATTATTTGGGTTTGTTTTATTTTAGGTACTTCCATGTTAGCATTATTGTCCTCTAGTAATAAAAGATCAAATGTCCGGGGGAGAAAAATGACATATTACAGAGGAATTAATATTAGACCAAGTGAGGAAAAAATTCTATTTGTTAAGATTTTAATATTCGTCTACTAATAATTTATCTCGAAAAATTTATAAAATTTACAGATATTGCAATTCAAGAAATAAGTGGTTTCTTAACATTAGTTTCAAAAAATTTTATAAAACTATTGACTATACTCTGTTCATATTTTTTGATCCTATTGAGCTTTGTCATTTTTCTTAAATGGAATGGTGGAATTGTATTAGGTAAATAACTTTAAATAATTTTTTTAATACGCGTTATTATATATTTATATTTATATATTGTTTTATTTAGGTGACAAATCGAATCATGTAGCAGTTTTACATATACCACAAATCTTTTATTTCATTTCATTCACAACAATATTTTCTGTACCAATTATATTAAAAGTTGAGCATGTTGAAAGATTATTCAATGGCATATTGAATCTAAGATTAAACAGGTATTTTTAAATTAATTTATAAATATAAATATGATAACTAGATTATACTAATTCAAATAATTCAAATAATTCAAATAGAAAAAGATTATATTTGTTTATAATCGCGATTATAATGATATTTGTAATTAATAATTTCACGTAAGTTTACCAATTTTTTTTTTTTGATTTGTTTGTTAAGTATTACTTATCTAAAAAAAACGCGTTAAAAAAAATTCCATTAGGTACGAACATCCATTTTTATTGAGTGATAATCGACATTACACTTTTTATATATGGAAGGATATTTATCAAAGACATTATTTGATAAAGTATCTATTAATTCCTGCTTATATGATAGGAGGATGGATTTTATTGGAATCGATAGGTAATTAGGAATTAAAGCATTCTTATTTAACTTTATTATTCTTCTTTTAATCCTAACCGTACCGTTATTCCTTTTTAAAGCTTTACGACAATCATTCCTTTGGGTTTTGATTTACATCATTGCAGTATGCCTCTCGTTAATTCCATCTCCATTACTTGAATTTAGATATTTTATAATACCTTATTATATATTTAGATTACATATTGGACAACCTGATGGTTTGAGATTGTTTATTGAATTTTTGATATATGCTGCTGTTAATGCTCAAACTGAACATTTATTTTTGGAAGAACCTTTTGTTTGGTTTAGTGAAATTCATAAATGGCAAAGATTTATGTGGTAATTGTAATTAGTAATTGTTTTAGTTTATAATAAGAGGATAATAAAAGAGAGAGTAATATTGCAATATCTTTGTAATATTTTCATTATTATTATTGAGTGTAATAATCATTATACAGTATTTGTATATTTATTTCAAAAAAATTGATGTTATATAAACGAAAATGACACTGCTTTTATTAGATAAATTTCGATATTTGTTTCCGATTATATTCGATTACATTCCAAAAGATAAATTATTTAGTGAAATTTTAATATTATTGAAAATTTTTCGGATTATCGTTATCAGTAGGCTTGGATGATGTTTTAACTACCACAACAAATAACAGGAAAGCAAATTAATTTCAGCCAGCATTACGCGTAAATGCAAGACGTGTTCGATGAAGATCAGATGATGTAAATAAGGTTATTGTTATACAATATATACTTTAGCAACGCGTAATTTTTTTTTATTGGAAATACTTTTAAACCATTATATAATGTAAAAAAAAGAAGATAATTTCGTTTCAATTTTATTATGGAAGGGTACTCCCTGACTCGGGGAGGGTCGGTTAATTCTTAGTCCAGGTGTTGGTGATGGAAACTTCTGATTTAAAGCTACTTCCAAACAATCTTAGCACTTTTCACTTTGAAAGCCTTTCCAGAATTAAGTACAAATTGACATTTCTGTAGAATGTGGGCTTGGAGGCATGCAGGTATCTCCAAGTGATTATTATGTCATACAAATCACAACGCTTAACAATCCGAATAGAATTATAGGTCGAATCGATGTTATTCAATGCTGCTCACCTTTCTGTTACCACATTACAGCATTAATAGATTGTTCTATGTTGATTCGCTGATAAACTATCATGTTTGATGTGTTTGTGGATACCGGCTGATTATCATTATATTTTTTCAAAAAAAAAGGAAATACAAATTGCTAAAGCAGATAATGGATTCTGGCAAGGTAAGAATAACAGGAAAGGTAATAAGAGTAATATTCTGTTTTTTCGTATAACAGGGAAAAAAAGTAATTTGAGTAATCTATCTATCCTCTTTTTAGATGATCTAGATAACTATGATGAGTTTACTCATGAAATATTAGATATTACTAGATCATGTGTTTTTGAAGATGTCAAAGCAAATACAGAAAGCGAAGTTAGCGTAAGGTAGTTCACAATTCACTATCGCAAACGTATTAACGTAAGGTAGTTTTCAACTCACTGTCGCAAATGTATTAACGTAAGGTAGTTCTCGACTCACCATCGCACCATCGCAAATGTATATTGTCGTTGACACTGAATCAACCATTGATGAAGAATCTAATATAGAAAAAATCCCTATAGAGGCTAACTTACAGTCTTGGAAGAAAGTTATACAGAAATTGACGTAGATAATGAAGCCAGAAATCTTACAGGTATTTTGGTATTTTGGTATTCTCTACCTTATATGTATAATAACTGTGCTCACTCCACCTTAATAACTTTTAGGATGAAGTGCATATCCATAACAAATTACTAGATGTCAATATCGGTGTATTTAGTGCCTATTTCTCTGCACATAACAATAAACATACCAAATTTGCGCAATCCATGTCATAGGAATAATATACTAGTTGATGCAGTCGTACGAGTCGTTCGATAGTTTTGACAATGGCTGTTTTTTAATGCAGAAAATAAAGCCAACAAAGTCAGAAAATTTTACGGTAAAGTTTGTTCTGCTGTGAGTGTTAGATTTGTGTCGACAAAGTAAGTGACGAAGACATAGGCTTGCCAGAATGATAAGTTTTCTTGTAGACTAGTAACAATACTGGCAAAGAGACAGTGAAATGGTGATAGACAGTGAAGCGGTGATTGATAGTTCTTCTCGATAGATGTAATTCTTATTTCTAAGAGTGGTAATAACTTTATAAGATAATATATTTACAAAGAAAAATAAACATGAACATTTCTTTCTATAAAAGCATTGGAAAGTAAAGATGTGCGGGCAATACTGTATGTAATCTAAGATCAAAACTAGGTTTGAAAACTAAGAGAGATATAATTACTGTTCGGCACAATGATTGATGTTTATAATGTATTTAAAGTGGATCTATGTGAAATATCGTTATCTTATCATGAGTATTGTCAAACAATCAGGATAAATCCTACAATCCCAAAAGTCTTTCTAGGTCATCTCAAAAAGTGGGATCTTATTTTGGTCTTTGAGAGGTGTGACGCGTAGAGATTGCAAAAGTTGAATCCTATTGTGGATGATATATACATATTTTTATGATCAAAAATTATTGAACGGTTTATTCCTGATCTAAAAAAGTATAAAGATTTCAAGAAAAAGATTCTGTCATAGCAAATAGACTAAGAATGCCAACACTGATACTGAAGAAATACTATATGACTTGAAAATATTAAAACAACGTGTATGTTTACACGCAGAAATAAACATAGCGACAACATTATAAACTGGAATTATAAAGGAGTAGTAGCTAAGAGGTGTAATGGACATAATATCATCGTTTCTGATGATGGTACATCATGTATGGAAACTTCAGATGTTGACTTCAATAATAAATGTGTTATATTTGATTGAGAATCCCGATCAGATCATAATGGATGAAACAAAAGAACAGCATCATACGCAAGGTATATTTTGTTATATTTCTTGATTAGCAATTGACTTTTTAACAAAAATATATTTTAGTTCAAGAAAAAAAATCCACTTTTTCCTGAATATATTGGCGATTGGGCTTTATATTATCTTACATATTGTTTTAGCAGCGAGATCTGAAAATGAAGAAAAAAGTGAGGATTCAGAAAATGATGATAATGCTTATGCAACATATAGAGCTTTTTACAGAGGAAAAAATTAGTTTACTACAATCAGACCTCTGTACCGATACTGTTATTTTGGGAAAAATATGTCGGTACATCAAATTATCGTTAAATAAGTCATTAATTATAATGTCACGCCAAAATCCAATTCTTACCGACATTATGCAAACTCCAAAGCTAAAAAAAATTCCAATTCCTCAAAGTTACTCTTCAGTATTAAATTTTATTTTTTTATTTTTATTATATAGACAAGATCCGGGACTACATTAAATTTTATGGGAAAAATAATAGATTTTTACATTTATATTAAAAATGTCATGTGATTTGGATAGAATCTTGATGTTAACTCAGGCCAGATTTATAGTGCTGACCTGAATTAATATTAGTGTAATGGTACATCTTATCATGTTTAATTATAAAAGGGCAATCGGTACATAATGTAGGTACAACAAGGTTTTTTTTTTATTTATTGACATAGAAAATATATCGATATAAGCAATTATCAAGTTTTTGTATTCTGGTGTACTGCTGACAAAAAATTGTCAGAACTATCTTAAACATACCATGATCTAAAATGCAAACATTGAAGATCAGATGTTGAATCTATAAATTTAAATAATAAAATTATATATTAAAATTTACACTAAAAATTAAATTTATAATTAGCACTTACTCTAAAAATATAAATTTTAGTTTTTAGATAAATAAATATAATAATAACCTATAATTCACAACTTACCAACTAAAGTAATGGGTATTCTATCAAATGTTTGAAAAAAATATACTTATCGTTTGTATAATCAAGGTTTATTGTGTAAAAAATGAGTACATATTATATCAATAAATAAAGCATAAAAATTGGCTATGCATCATACACATTTAAAAGTTCAAAATGACATTGTGTCTTTTAAATTCCTCAGCACACTTACTATTCCTTTTTTGACTGAATTACTCTGATCACCATCTAGGCGAAAATTTTGTAAATTAATTATCAATTTTAACTATCTATGCACTATCTATCATGCTTCTATGGTTTTTAAAATAAACATTCCGTTCCTATATCTACGTTGAAATTTTCACAATTACACCCATGAATTTCACTACCCATATAGATTTATGTTATACATGATTGAGCAAAAAATTAGTCGAAAGGCAAAACAATAACTGATAAAACAATACTTCTGATTCAGTGATTCACTCTTACCATTATATTTCATTTTCACAGCATTCAACTCCGCCAAAACATTGTAAGTACACTATTGTCTATGGTAAATTCGATTTTTTGTAGTACTGTGTTGAAAGTCAGCACATAGATAAACGCTTGCGCTAAGGTATGTGACGAAGATAAGGTCGCTACGCCAATAACATACTGATGATGGTTTTTTACTAAGATTTTCCCGGCGAATATTAATAGTAAAATGTCCAAAACTACATCTATAAACCGTAAAACGGGACGATTAGCATATGTAAACGGTCTTTGTGCATGATCAAGGCATTTTCATACCTTATATTTTTGTTACAAACTACGATCTTGATCGTTGATGGATGTTGATGACGTAAAGACAAGTTCATTTTTCGTTTAATTTTTGTTCACTTGCACAAGGAGGATAAAAAGTTCACTAACCAAAGTCTCAGCTTTTTACATAATTTGCAATGAGTCTAAAGATCGATTTTGGAATCAATCTTTGACGTTAATATGACTCTTGTCACGAAGATCTGATCAGCAAGCGCTCCTTAAAGTAAAAATTTGAGACATCCCGCATATAAAGCTGTACCAAGTTCATGTGGTAAACGTAAACTTCATACCTCAAAGTGATACAAGTTGGGTTATGGAAAACCATGGCATTTGTCACAAACAGGTCATGCGGGAAAAATTTATTATGTAACTCAAAAATAAATACAAAAGAATGCATGATACATGAAATTCGAGTTTTTCGCACGATTACTCAATGACCTTATCCTTGTTATTTCCCTTGATTGCTCTCTACTTTGAGAAGCTTCCAACGGCTTATGTGCCTCCAGATAATATGACCAAGGATTTTTTCCGTCATGTCTTTCTTCATACCCACATCTGACAGATAGAATCTTCGATAATTTAAACGATGGTTTCCCTTCACTGTCCAGCGTCCATTCCATGAAATACCATTTTTCCGCTACAATTCCAATATCACACTCACACTCGTCGTCTATTTCGTTTGCTTTACGTTTGCGAGATAGTGAAGTTCCATCTGTATGGTGGCTTGTGCAAAAAGCCCTGCTTAAAGTTAATTTTTTTGGCCTCAGTCAAGCCAATCGTTCTCTCTATAGTTAAGATTTTCGTACCCGTTTTCCCCTTCAATCAATTTCTCAGGTATTTTTATTTGGTTTTTAAACGGGAAAGTTGCTGAGACGAGATAATGAATAGATTCTTTCGTAGCTTCATAGGATAAATTGATAAGGGTTGTTGCAGTGCTCGTTTCCAACTCGCCTAAAAGTTTACACAACGCTTCTTTGTACTTCTCATTCTTAATTTCAACTCAACCACAAGAAAAAAAACGAGTCAATACTAGGATTCGAATCGTAATAGAGCTCATTATTTGAAAAGGTCATTCGTTGAATGGTTTTGACGGCGTCTCAATGAATACGGTATACTTGAATCTGCTTTTGTCACGAACAGCAGTCATTTTGAGAAAAGTATTCTCTGACGGTTACGCAGGGAGGTAGGTCCTGCAAAGCCTTGGCATTGGCCGAGTCACCTTGCTCCCCTATGAAAATGGAATCCTGGGAGATAGACATCGGGTGAGGAGGATTCTAACCTCTTCTCAATATTGGACCACTATGATGAAGCACAATTGCCACCCAACGGAGGAGATCCTGATTACTTCCCATCATATTCAAGTACCGTTGTTTGTTCTTAAGTATGGAATCTTTGAGGCCTTTGAGGGCACATACCCGATATTCATTGTCCACTTGAATGATTTAGTCCGTCTAAACTCTGAATAAGAGAAAAGGTCAATAAGAATCTTTTTTCGGACAGTAGCTTGACCGTGACATTTTGTCATTGTTTTTCATAATTTACAATTTCGCTGACCACGAGTCAGGAAAAAATACGTACCATAGACAGACTTGTTGAGTAATGGCGAGTTCGACAAGCGATTCCTGCTCACGGCTCGAAGTGGCGGTTGACACGGGCGGCTCGACTATTTGACTTTTTTTGTTACAAGTAGGGTTCTTAGTCGAGGTAATCTTGATCGATGATTGATTAGCTTGATCGATTAATGACACATTATATTTGAGTATTTTTCTTGGGACAAATGGTTGAAAGTCCAACTTTATGATTAATTCGTGATCTATTTAAGAACCAGTGAAAATTTCTTATTTTTTAGAATCTGGATTTCTTTGACGAATGCCAACCAGCTTTCTCATATCATTTCACATGCATGGTAATAGGCACTATTATCCTATTGGAATCTAAACATACCTGAAAGTAGCTGTAACCCCTATCTAGGAAAGACAGATGCCATTCTCATAAGAAATCTCCTTCCCCAAAAATACTTAGTAACTTTCACTGGTTTAGGCGGATGTTCACTTAATGATAAAAACCAATCAAATTTAATTGATTAATTTAATCAACCATTATGAACTTTACTTTGGTCGGTCAATTGATCGATTAAATATAACTAATCAAATCACAGACCTCTGAAGTTGATCAATTAATCGACCAAGAGATTTGGAAGGAATCAAATTTCCTAGTTACAAGAAATTCGGTTTGATCCTAGAGTGAGAGATTGTTCAGCTGATCGTCACGGTCTTCAGGAATTTCTACTTTTCATAGCTTGAGTTTGTCTGAGGAAAATTATCGAACGCTGGTGCCTTTTTCAACCTTGATAGCCAGTTAATAGCCTCCTTAAGCTTGCTAATAGACTTATTCTTCTCAATATCAACTTCGGAATCGTTGCGTGATAGACATTTCGACTATAGACTATTTTTCGTGAAATGTTATTGGTCGCAAACTATGTGAGGACAAGAGGCGGAAGACTTATTTGCGGAAAAAATACCATTCTGTCACAAAGATGATCCATTTATTTGTAACGAGAAATAAATTATTCCGGTGCCGGGATTTCTAATAATTTCACTCGACTAGGATTCGTCGTAGCAAATCCTACTAGCCGATACAAAGTTTTTACGACCCACTCATCTGTTAATAGTCGAAGAAGATTCAGAATGATAAATATCTTTCATTAACGATGGAACGAAACTTACTAACCAATTTTAATCTTAAAGCTGCGGATGATGAATCCAAGATATATGGCGAGTTTATCTGTGATGAAGAATCTGAGGCAGATGATGGCAATGAGTTTGATTGGGATGATCTACTTCCATATAACAGTTGGCCCGTTGGCATGGGATGAACTTCTTCAAGCCAAATGGCCCATCATTCGTTTACGAGATGCTTTTCAAATATTTCTGAACGAGTAAAGAACGATATATTTTCTGAATCAACTTCATCTGGCCAAGAGAACACAATGAATTTTTGGATACGTTAGCCGATCTCGAGAAAAGCCAGGATCTTTAAGAGCATTGAGTGAATTATTTTATGAGTTAAAATCAAAATACCTGCCTTCGAGCCTATTCGAGAAGACGGGCTTCACTATTCGCCCAAAGTTACGACCAATAGTTGGCATTGCAGGGTTTAATAATCCATTTTGAATATATACTGATGTTATATATTCAAGAATTTTTTAACACTTCAGTATGCTCCTTTTCCAATTGCACTAACAATCTTTCAATAATTATTGGGTCAGTTATGTCAGGTTCTTCTGAAAAATCAGGTGTAATAATAGGAATAAAGTTAATTGGTATCAATTATTCCATATACGCATCAATCTCATGATGAGCTTGTGAAACAGCGAAGTAAAATGAGCCTGGTATGATTCCCATTAGCTCATCCTTCCTTCAAAGCTATGGAAGATAACAGGAAAAACTCGTATCAAGAAAAAAAAATACTAAGATTCGATTATTCTCAAGGGAAAAGTTTTTGCAAAGAAAAAATTATGTAAGGTAGACTTGTTTTATTAATACAAATGGTAGTGCTGTGAACAACACAAAATAAATTACAAATTTTGGTCACAGCTCGTGATACATGACGATGTTTCTATCCTATCTCTTGCTACGGGAAGCCTATATATTTTCTTCATACGATCGTCAATTAGCCATTTATCTTAGTTCTTTTCTTTTCAGCTGCTTCGTCTGCACATACCTTATCCTCGCTTTCTCATAAAGCAAGAAATTCCAATCCCTGGCAGATGAATAGATTGTCATTTACTCGCATTCGCTTTTTCTTGTTCGTTTTGTACGAACTTTCGAGTGTTTGATATACTGAGAAACACAAAAATAAAAAAGGTTTGTCAGCATAATTTAAACCAAGACAAATATCATCAGTAATACATAACAATGTTAACCTGAGCGAAGCTTTCGAGTATGTTGCGCTGGACTTCATCTTCTTATTCTTTAATACAAAGAAGGTTTCAGCCTTCTATAATATTATTATACCCTCAGATATTCTGAAAAAATGTCGTGAACATTTTGTCAAAAATAAATTTCTCTCACTAAATTCCTACTTTTTTAGCATATTCCTCACTATAAATAAAGGCCGTGTGAAGTATGATATATATATATATCAAAACGTATAGATTTCACGCTATCCATAACTAATTTTGACCCGTAATGTTTTATCTTGAACGAATTATTCTCCACGAAATGCTCAAAGTGTTTGTTGGAGTCTTGAATTTCGCGGTTTTGTTGGAATGGTGTCCGTATCGTTAAGTTCCATATCTCACTAACACTTCCTTCAAACTGTGATACGAGGAGAACGGCTCAACTTGTTTTATTTACACTCCTTGGAGAAGTGTTGGCAACCTTTTCACAGGATTCACCAGCTAAGAAATTCTTCTATGTTCGTTTTGAAAAAGTCACAGCCATTAACCCTTTGCTTGCAAACTATTCCAAAGTCCTCCTTATCAAGTTCTAAGTCCTCCTTACGCGAGAAATTGATAAGCTCTTTCGCTTTATATTTTTCTGGATAGTGATATTAGGCTCGTACAAAAATGTGTTACGTACTTGTCAATTGCATTACACGTGATCCGCCTTCAATAGTATGTAATTCTGGCTAAAATTAACATTGTATATGTATATAAATATATATAATACAGAAATAAAGCGAACCAATCGAATGAGGCTAATCCAATTCCTACTATGTTAATACAGTACTATTAACGAAAGAAATCCAGAACAATAGGATAATTAATTTTAATTAAAATCGCTAGGAATAGGGTAGCTCAACCTTCTCGAAGTTCTTAGTAGTGTCGTGCTTCATTCGCTTCAAGATGCAGTATATGAAACGGAAATGCTCTATTATGGAATGTTGACTGATAATTGATTATTAGAATTATTACGATTATTTGAAATTAATGAAATATCTTCAAGATATAGTTATTTGGTCAATTAGCGAAAGTAGCGTATTTGATTGTACCACTAAAATAACAGTCGTGGAGCGCATATTTTGATTTGTTAAATATTTGTTATTATGATCATGTTTTATTTCTACCCAGAACTGCTCAATAGATTTTTCATCCACATTTTTAACCACCTAGTATTGAGATCAAATAATAATTCCATCATTATTTTTATTTAGAACAAAAATTTTCTCGCAAAGTTTAAATATTAATGAAAAATAAATTGTGGATTTAAATATCAAATGAAATAAATAATCATGAATTATAAATTAGTGAAATTCGATTTGCTTTGTCACGTATCGATCTGAAGGATAAGCGAATATATTAAATGATACAAATTCGCAAGGAGAGTAGATGGTTGTCTCTAAGAATACTGGTAATGGAACAAAACTATAATATTTTTTTTTCTTTTGATCATTGATCGGGAACTTCATAGGAGCATGTATTTTTAATTAATAAAAAATAACGTATGAAATTGTTACGATGTAGAAAATATAAATTGGAAAATCAAAATAATTAAACAGAAAATAATTTTTCATAAAGGAATAAAAATAAATTACAAATTGTTTTTTCATTATGATGTTATTTGCCATCGCGTTCTTAATTCTATCATATAGACCTAGTGAACTATGAATCATGAACGATTATATAAAATATTTTAAAAAATTTGTGAAAGACGGACCAGAATTCAATACTAAAATTTTTCATTTAATTAATGCCATAAAGATTCCTTTTGGGACAATACTGCTTCAAGAGCGAAAGTCGACGCATCGGTAAATAACATGAACGGTCAGTCCCACTTGGGATAAATTAAAATAGGAGATGAAACCAAGCAACTCTTCAAATGATCAACCGCTTGTTGTTGAGTAGCAGTCCAATTAAACGGAGTATTCTTTCTTAACAAACTTATTCAACAGGTTTAAAAACAATTTGACATCTCGCGCTACAAATCAACAATTTAAATGACCAATGAAATAATTTTATTAAATTTTGCTAAAAGATCAATTCATAATATGGAAGCAACCATAATTCCAAGACTATAGATATCAACACGGTTGGTATATCTTTTTCTTCGTAAAATTCCAAGTGCTATCTAAGTCTTTTCCAATGTTTTTTATCGTTCCATCCATCATTCCATTTTGTTTTATAGACTTTACCAAGCACGTCCTTTGTAACTTCAATCGAGTAGATAGAGAGTTTATTCCTAATATAAGGACCTCGCCGATACATTAAGCTATATTCATCTGACATCTGCGGTATCTTGAATATATAATTATTATTTATTTAAAAAAATTTCTCTGTCCCCCAGAAACAAGAAAGGGTGTGACGCCGGTGATGAAATATGTCACGTGATTTTCACGACATTTTTTTCGGTTACGCTGGGAAAATAACTTTAGTATTTACCTTCTGCGCCTCTAATCTTTAAAATACTTAAACTTTTTAATTGGGTACATATAAGCCATTTCCAGATGCTCATCGGTTATACATGTACAAAATTGAAAAGATGGTCTTTGTAATTGTGTTGTCCTTGCCACCCTAATATCTTTTCTTGTGTCTTTAGATAAAATTGCTGTCAAACTCTACAATGAAATAATTACAGAAAGAATTTACTCCAGCAAATGGTACCTAAATCTATACAATACAGAATCAATAGATACGTAAGATTGAAAAAAAAAATCAATTATAAAATCGAGTATTTCTAAAATACTTTAGTTAATAGGATTATCAAATTAAAAAACGTTTTAAAATGCATTTTCAATCTTTAGAAGATAGGATACAAAAAAAGAGAAATTAGAGTTTACTCCAAAATTATATAAGACTTAAATTTATACAGTACGGAATTAAATTCAAGTTTAGTTGGAATTTACCGGATTGAAATTTTAAAACATAAAATTATCAATTGAAAATAATAATTTTTTACTATTAAAAACTTTTTGAAATAAACAAATATAAAAATATTAAAATTTTGAACGTAACATGCATGAGTATAATCAAAGGTTTTAAAATGATATATTTATAAAAAAAAAAATTATAAGATCGAATATTGTTATTTGATTTTCCTCTATATTTCTTATTAAAAGATTAAAATACTTGCTATGAAGGTAAAACTTTCGGGAAATATTTCAATGTATTTTAAAAATGACTTGTCGTATCATTTCCGAACATATCAATGAACTTTAACGTAAAAAATTTCCCTTTTTTTTATAAATGATGAATTAAATCAAAGTTGGCTGACCAATAAAAATGATTATTCTATATTTATTTTATTTATTTTTATCGTCCTACAAAAATTAGAAATAAATTTGTAACCTTCGCGTTGATTAACAAATGTTCCAGTATTTTATATGGAATTAATCACATGATTTTATTATTGGCTCTATTCACTCACGTGATCGTCATCCAATAAAATCGCAAATCTTAATTATACATCTTATATAATGGTTTAACTTGTGATGAATTTGATATTTGTACGGGATTTATTACTCATGTTTTTTAATGCATTATACAATCATCTATTTTAAAATCATGCACCATACGTATTTAGTTACAGTTTGTTGATATATTGTAAGCTTACGTATTTTACTGATTTAACTCTTTATAATAAAATAAAAAAGAGATATAATTAGGGATGACAACGTTCACAACCATTAACCGGTTAACCAGTCATGACTGGTCATGACCGTGATCGAACTGATCGGTCAAAGGCGCTATATGACCCCGTACCATTTGATATTTTGATTGATCATTCAAGTGACTTTTTAACTTGCTAATCAAATTTAACATATTAACTTATAGAGAAATAGAATTGTTAAAAAAAAGTGACCAAATATTTGTCGAACCATCTTCATTAAATGTGAAGTTTCTTTTTCTATAAATGATAATTACAATACATTTTAGTAATTCCTAAGATTTTATCTTTAGGCCACACAAATTCGATTTTTCGGTTCACTTCACCCGGCCGGGTCACTTTTTCAAATTTCAATAAAAAAAAGTTTATATATAAAAAGTTTATCACGTGATCAATACGTAATTTTATTGGCGGGTAAGTTTATCACGTGGCTGAGAACTTCTGGAGCGAAAATAAAATCTTTCCCCTTTAAAAGTCAACCAATCAGATGTCACGATTTTATATATAAACTTTTTTTATTAATAAACAATAAACTCCGGGTCCCCGGGTCAATTTTAAATTTCAATGTTACGTGAACCGAAAAATTGAATTTGCGTGGCCTTATATCAAAAGGATCAATGTAATTATTATTTTCCCCGCTTATGCATATAAAAAGATTTTCACAAATATAAAGGGTATTTATAAAATTATCATTTTTAGACTTTATCATAATGTAACTGATGCATCAGTGTATCTTAATTATTCAAGCACTAAATTATCGAGATTCAGCGTTCGCCTTAATGTTGACGTTTATGATAGGAATATGAATTAAACTCTTTACTTAAACCAAAATTTGTACATTTATTATTTATATTGTCTTATAATTGAATTTAAAAACAACAAAAATTAGCCAATTTTAATATTGTTCAAATTACAAGATCATTTATTATTGCAAAATCTTTATATTGAACAAATAATAGAAATAAATTATTTAAATTACAAACTAAGAAATTTACAAGTTATTTTGTTACTCTAGTCTTAGTGTTTAAATAAAAAAATGTAATAATAAGTATATGAATATTGTTTTTTTTTTAATTTAATATTTAATTTGTAATATACGATTTTTTTTAAAAAAAATCCGGAAAAATATTTGAGTACTTGACAATCCAAAAATAAATTTAAGATGTTAAATTTAAGATGTTTTAATTTTTTTAGAAATTTTACCGTTAGAAATTTTTAAATCGTCTTGCTTTTATCTATAAAATAAAAATAAAAATAATTAAATTATTGCTTTCTATTATTATTATAATCTATTATGAAGTTTTATACCATTTATATCTAAATTATGCTTCTTTGTTTGTTGCACAGTTTCTTTCTCATAATCGTTATTTTGAATATCTATAAAAAAAATTAATTATATTAATTTAAATAATATTGAATCTTAGTAATAAAATTATAACGATAATTAGTAAATTAATAATTTACTTACTATAATTTGAATTGATTTCTAATTTTCCAAATACTTTGAGATGAAAATTAAATTAGTTTATTATTTTAAAGTAATTTTAAATTTTGATAATAATTATTTACCTTTATATACACTATTCGATTTTGATATATTAACATTTTTTTCAACACTTGAATTATTAAAATAGTCAACTAAAGTGAAGAAAATAATTAATATAATTGCAACTATACCATATATTAATTTAAAACTAAAAATACTTACTATTGTTAGGAATGTTAAAGCTATAAGGTTTACTATGGAATGCTATAAATTATCAAATAATTTTAAATTTAAGTTAAATTAATAAAGTATAAACAAATTATTGCATATATGATATACCTTCTTGTTCTTCTATTGGTATTTTTATTTAAATAAAAAGAAACTAATGTTAGCATATTTTTAAGTGTAATAAAATGCTTCAAAGTAATATTACTACCTTCTGTTGCATTTTTTGGTTCAGGAAAATTTTCAAATTGATAAGTTTTACTAGTATAATTTTTGCTTATTGAATCGATTGAATTACTTGAATAGTAAATACTTAATTGTTGACGTTGATTAGAAATTATTTGTTTTTGACTTTCATCTTGATTGTTTTGGAAATTTAAAAATATTTTTTTTACATCTTTCCGTAATGTACCAGCATCAGGTCTTTTTGTTGAATCAGCATCCCAACACTGTTCCATTAATTTCTTATATTCTAAAGGAGTTCCTGGTACTATTTTTGGTCTCATTCCATTTACTATTTTCATTGCAAGATCATAATTATGCTCAAAATTAACAAATGGTGGTTGTCCTGATGAAATTTCCCACATAAGTATACCAATACTATAAATATCAGATGCAAAAGTAGTTTTTTTACCAGTAATCACTTCTGGTGCTATATAAGGAAGATTTCCATATACACTATTTAGTGGTTTATCAACAGGTCCACAAAATCCAAGATCACTAATGTTAAAAGCTTGATTAAGTTCTAAGATATTTCCAGAATGCAAATCTCTATGAATTGCATTTTCCTTATGAATGCTGTAAATTCCATTTATTATGTTATAAGCAATTTGTATTCGTTCTTTCCATATAAGATTATTATAACTTTGCTTTAGATATGTTCTTAAATCCATTTCCATTTCATTCATTACAAGCATATAATTTCCACTTGAAGGATTCTTTGTTAGGCCAAAACATTGTACTACAACTCCCCATTTGTTACTTATAGTTAAATGAGATTTGCTCTAAAAATATTATATAAAATTGTTAATTGTTAACGAATTTAATACATAATATGTTTAATTATATACCTCTTCAAACCATCTTCTGTTAGCACTTTCAACATTTTCTAACTCTTTAAGTATTACATTTTGATTTCCATATCTTGTTAATTGTTTTTCTTTAAAATCCCATTCATAACTTCCACCTATCCATTCTGCTGTATAAATTTCGGAACATCCACCTTTAGTTAAATATTTAACATTTTGTAAATTATTATATGGGATCCATTCAACTATATTATCTGGTTGAAATGTTTCCATTTGACATTTTTGTATTAAATTATCAATATCATTATTTCCAGATGTCCAGTTTGAAAAATTTTCTTTTAAATAATTTCGAACACAATGTTCACAATATAATGTTGCTAAACATTCATCTTGACAATTTTTACAAATTCTTTTTGTTCCTTCATTAAAATGAATTTTATAATTGTCATGAGTTTCATTTAAAAATTTTATTACTTCTGATTTTTCATCTTTTGTGAGAAATTCATTAGCAAGAATAGTTTGTTTTCTAAATTCATGTACTTTATTCAGAGTATTATGAATAGTAGTATCCGTTAATGAACATGCTCTATTATACGCAGCCCAAACAGCATCTTCTCGAATATTAGTCATAATGTGATTTTTTAATTTTGTAAAAAAAAGGAAGACTTGAAAATGAAAAAAGTTGTAAAACGGATTTAATGGATTAGTAACTCCGACAATGTCCAAATATATAACGTGTAAAACTCTATTTCCAAATTTTGAAATTTTGTACAATTTGTACAGTTGTACAACAAAAATACCCATGATCAACAGTAAATTTCCGTATGAATTATTTTAAAAACTTAGATAAGAAAAAAATATTCGACTATTCAGTGTCTATACCAAAAAATAAATAAATAATATTCTAGTATAAATAAATGTAAGTTATAATAATCAGATTAAAATTTTGAGATGCAAAATTTTAGATCGCCCAAAGTGAAAATGAAAAATAATAAATGTATTAATAAAAAGTTTTAATGAGTAACGTGAATATTAAATTGCGTATTAAAAAAAAAAAAATACATTATAGAATCTTGATACAGTAGATGCACGAAATTCACTCTAAACCTATAATTAATTATTTTGATTCGAAACATATAATCAATTTATCATAATTATTATTGCAGAATTAAGATTTTTTTTATCTTTAACATATAGTAAATTATTATTAATCACACGTCTATCCCGATATCGTTATAATAATATAATCATATTTAAATCATAGTAATGATAGCATCGTATATATTTAATAATTGATTCGTTGATATAAACTTATTTACTATAATAACTCCTTAATAAATGACGAATAAATGACGTTGCATCATTATGTTACGTTTAATAATCATCATCTTGCAAGGAAATCTTTTCATAAGTACTTGTTTAATTAGTCTAATTAAGTATAATAGCATAAAGTAAGGTTTAAAAAAGAAGTAATACAGCTTTATATATCATATAATTATAAAGCAAGCTTTTAAGCAAACCCTAACAGCTAATGACTACTTTAGGCCTTTCTATATATAATAATCATTGCATTAATTTAAATTATGTTTAAAATATCTAATCGAAGAAATACAAATACTGATGAATTTTATTATTATAGTGTGAACAGTCACATTAATATTTAATATATCGAAGCTTTATCCTTTTCCTACAGATCCATGGTTTTATTATAAAATACGAATAAAAATCTTAAACATATTATCTGTTATATGGCACAGTTAAATTATAAATTTGTGACGTAGCATTTTCTTTGGATGATTATTGGATGGTTTCAAAAAATTAATTATTAATTACTACGCTAAGAAAAATTAATTTTGTAAGTAAAATGTGATCTTGAGTGTCTGTATAAAAACTGATGTTTAATTTTCTTGTAATATGAAATACATTATTTTATCATATTGAATTTTATAACCTGTCTATAAAATAAAGACTGTTGTGTTAATTTAAACCTTCGCGTAGTAGAAATTGATTACAATAATTAACTTGTGATAAATTTATGACATTTGTACTATATTTACTATTAAATTCGAATGATAAATTTACCGTAATTATTATAAAAGAATCTTTTTATTTAAACAAATAAATTTAGTATTAGTCACACATTTGATCTAGTGTAGCCAAAAATGAGATTTAAATCACAAAAATTTAAGACTTTACACTAATTTAAAAGAGATTGCGGTCAACCCAGGCGTTCGACGATCAAAGTCATGACGTGCTCGGTCAAAGGCTTGAGTATTTTGACCGACCGTCTCATTTGATTGATCATTTCAACGATTATAACTTATAAATAATATTTTATCATGAACTTGGGTTTAATCCCTTTTTTTAATGCTGCCCCTATTCTAGCTCTTTTTTTTCTGAAGGAAGAACTATTAATTGAAATAATGTAGTAATTTTAAAATTAACATTTTTATTATTTTTAAAAAAAAACACTTTTATTTGCCATATGATTTACAGCCATTAAATTATCCGCATTTCAAAAATATAAATTTTAAAAAAAGTATTTACAAAAATGGATTCTTTTTTAAAAGGAAATTATTTTTTTTTAAGAAAAAATACATATCGATTTAATAAACATTTTTTAGAATAAAGTCGGTAGATTTTTTGATCTCCTTTCTTATTCTTCTTTGTAATCTGTTATATTGACCATTTTTCAAAATCAAATAAATAAAGATTATTACGATTAACTTGTGGTAAATTTGATATTTATAAAAATTCAGTAAATATATTACCTACAATTTCAATTGCAAAAATTTAAGGCCATATATATATATATATATATATATATCATAAGAAACTATTAACATACTATGATGAAACCATATATTGATATAATTTATTGTAAACACATCATTAATTAATCAATCACATCCTTTGTAATTCTATACCAAAGGAGTTACTAATTTTCATAATAAAATTATTGTATAAATGTTATCTGTTTCTTATAAAAAAAAAATATTATTTCGATTACGTCGCAGCACTGGCCTGATTTAAACCTAAAAGGCAAAGGAATAAAAAAAAATTAGAAAAAAAAATATTATATATTAAAAAAAGTATATCCAAGAAAAAAAAAATTATTAAAAAAAAAATGATGCTTACCATAGCACCGCAGTATCGATCCGATCACTGATCCAAACCTAAAAGTGTAAGAACAAAAAAAAAATTAGGAAAAAAAATTAAACCCGAAAAAAAGTAAAAGTATAAAAAAATTGTTTTAAAGAAAAAATTTTGGGTTTTAAAAAAAACCAAAATAAAAATATATATATATATATTGAAAAAAAAAAAAAAATTCGGTTTAAAAAAACCGAAAAATTTTTTTTTATTTCATCGTTCTGCTGCGGCTGATTGCATTGACGCCATCGTGAATGGAAATATGATTAATAAACTAAATTAAGTATTATAAGAAAAACCTATTAACTGGAACTGGATTTATAGTCCATAAAAATCTTCACGAAGCGAATTATTTTAACTGCAATAAATACGGAATGGATCAGGCGCAGACATATCACGCTGGGGTGTGCGGTCAACTAATTAAATCAAAACTATGTATAGTGTCATATAAAAATTTATTATTAAAGATTTTTTTATATTAAACTATCGTATACTACTGTATAAATTATACTATAATTATAACTATAATTATAATAAATTATTATTTTTTTTATTCTTTAATAACACTAAACTAGGACCCCGGATAATTATAATTGAGGTCATATCTTACTATGTTTTAAACTTTATTTTTCTTTTAACATGTAATTTTATTAAGTTAATATTATTTTTTACCATAGAAAAAAATGTTTCTTTTGAAGAGAAGAATCTTTTGATACCAAAATCTTGTAAATCTACTGATTAGAATTTGAGATAAGTATCGTTACACAGGCAAAATTTGGCAAAAAAATATACGCTTTTTCACTATCGGTATACATAGAAATATACAAAAAAATAAAAATTACTATTATTAAATATTACTTTTTAAGTAACAAAATTATAGATAATAGGAGGGCAATTATTATTACAAAGTTTTGTATCTATAGCTTTAAAAGTAAGTTCAGGATGACAAGGGTAAATTTTTAGCATAGAAGATATGACCTTAATTATAATTGTCCGGGGTCCTACTAAACTCTTATTAATATTTTCATTTCAAATTTTACACAAGTGTCCTGAATACCTGTTTCTTCTATAAAATATCTCGTTTTTCTTGAAAAAAGGTCTTGAACCCGTTGAAAACAATAAATTTAACCTTTTAATTTAATTTTTTTTTTTTTAGGAGTTTTTTAAAAAGCGAGGTATTTTATGTTTCTTAAAGTTATCAAGTATCCATTCAATTTTACAGCATTACTTAAACGCTAATGGAACACAAGTTATTAAATTTTAAAGATTTCGGATAATTTAATGGGAAAATGACTCGTCCTTCAAAACAAGCCCGCCACTTAAAAAAAGCACGAGAAATAGAAGCTCAAAAGTTAAATGCAAAGAAAGATGACAAGAAAAGAAAAGTCAATGAGATTATAGATGAAATGGATGAATCAAAACTTGATAATACTTTAAATTTAATAACAAATCTAATGGAATCAAGCAAAGAAAGAATTAATTTAATTTCTTCAGTTCAACAATTATCTGAAGAAGAGATTCCAGCCGCAGATCATCTCATCAAAACCATGTGTGGACCAAATGAATCCAAACTTATTTCTCCTTACCTTCAAAATAAGGCATATGAATAAAAGTCTTTACAAGCGGCAATTTTCGATCAATTCATCACAAGAAGCAAATAACAAGATGAAAACCAAAATTAAATAACTTGAGCGAAAAAATGATAATCTTATTCATCGTACACAGTCACTTGGTGTTCATGCGCGTCATCTTCAAAACCAAAAATCCAAACATATATCTGAAATTCGATCTTTAGTTAGACAATCACATCATATTTCTGATACTGCATTTAAAAAGAAGATCAAATCTATTTTTAAAATAAATAAAACGAGAATACACTTCAAATACCATTTGGCTTGCTACTAGCATCTCTCAGATAGGTCAATTATCAATGCATTCTACTGGAAGACGCACCACATATGTCCCAATCTCTTAAGCAATCAAAGCTTCGATTAGCATCTGATAAGATTGTTAAAGAAAATTTGTCAAATGAACTAAAGAATGTACGATTGCAAAGAAATGAACTTAAAGAATCGTCACTTCAAAATATTCAGCCACAACCATTTGGTATTGAAGTTGCATCGGATATATTTGATAAACTACTAGGCACTTAAAAGCTCATTAATTAATGAATGATTGTGGTTTACTTTAATTAGTGACAAACTATCAATATTGTATATAATTATTTAAGCAAGGGCTATGTTATATAAAGGAACGAAAATGTTTATAAAAGAGAATGATTTCCGCTTATACTGTACAATGTAAATACATCATAAAAATTGAAACAAAATTTAAACTCATTCCGGCAATTAAACCGAAATGGTTAAGATCTACATGATTGTTTCACAAAAATCTTTAATAATAAATTTTTATATGACACTATACATGATTTTGATTTAATTAGTTGACCGCACACCCCAATATCACGCGTTTCCATATTACAAGAATAATCTAAATTTTTTTAATTATATAGATGCTAAATTTACATATTATGCGAACAGCATATTGATATTGTTTTATGAAACCAAAACTAGCCGATTTTATTATAATAAATTGCAAAATCTTTTAAATTGAGTAATAATAGATAAAAAAATTATTTAAATTAGAAACTAAGAAATTTACAAGTTATCTTGTTACTCTAGTTTTAGTGTTTAAATAATTGAAATAAAAAAAAATTCAATAGGTATATGAATATTGTTTTTAATTTAATCATCAATTTGTAATTTATGATTTAGAAAATCTAAAAAAAAAATACAGAAATAAATTTAAGATGTTTTAATTTTTTTAGAAACTTTACCGTTAGAAATTTTCGAGTTATCTTGCTTTTCTGAAAGAGAATTTAGATTATCATATAGTACGTCGTCGTCATCTATAAAATAAAAGTAAAATTAATAAATTATTGCTTTCTGTTATTATTATAATATAGTTTATAAGTTTTGTACCATCTATATTTAAATGATGCTTCTTTGTTTGTTGCACGGCAGTTTCATTTTTATAATCATTTTGGATATCTATGAAAAATAATTATATTTAATATAAATAATATTGGATCTAATAAAATTATAATTAATAATTTAGTATTATAATAATTTACTCACTATAATTCGAATTGATTTCTAATTTTTCAAATACTTTAAAATAATAAATTAATTAACTTTAATTTTATTAAATTAACTAATGTTAAATTTTGATAATAAATATTTACCTTTATATACACTATTTGATTTTGATATATTAACATTTTTTTCAATATTTGAATTATTAAAATCATCAACTAAAAGTAAAGTAAAATAATTAATAAAATTACAATTATATTATAATATATTAATTTAAAACTAAAAATACTCACTATTGTTAGGAATGTTAAAGCTATAAGGTTTACTATGAAATGCTATAAATTATCAAAATAATATTAATTTAAGTTAAATATTATTAAAATAGTATTAACAAATTATTGCATATATGATGTACCTTCTTGTTCTTCTATTGGTATTTTTATTTAAATAAAAAGAAACTAATGTTAACATATTATTTTTAAAATGTAATAAAATATTTCAAAGTGGTATTATTACCTTCTGTTGCATTTTTTGCTTCAGGAAAATTGTCAAATTGATAAGTTTTACTAGTATAATTTTTGGTCATTAATTACTCAAATAGTAATTACTTAATTGTTGATGTCGATTAGAAATTATTTGATTTTGGCTTTCAACTTGATTGTTTTGAAAACTTAACAATAATTTTTTCATTTCAGTTTCTAATATAATAGCATCAGGTCTTTTTGTTAAATCAGCATCCCAACACTGTTCCATTAATTTCTTATATTCTAAAGGAGTTCCTGGTACTATTTTTGGTCTCATTCCATTAACTATTTTCATTGCAAGATACTCATAATTAACAAATGGTAGTTGTCCTGATGATATTTCCCACATAAGTATACCAATACTATAAATATCAGATGCAAAAGTGGTATTTTTTTCAGTAATTACTTCTGGCGCTATATAAGGAAGATTTCCATATACACTATTTAGTGGTTTGTCAACAGGGCCACAAAATCCAAGATCACTAATACGAAAATTATTAGTATATTCAAATAATATATTTCCAGAATGCAAATCTCTATGAATTGCATTTTCATTATGAATGTTATCAATCCCATTTATTATGTTACAAGCAATTTGTATCCTTTCTTTCCATAGGAGTTTATTATGGTTTAGTTTCAGATGTATTCTTAAATCCATTTCCATTTTATTCATTACAAGCATATAATTTCCACTTGATGGATTTTTTGTTAAACCATAACATTGTACTACATCTGGCCACTTGCTACTTATAGTTAAATGAGATTTGCTCTAAAAAATTATATACATAATTATTAACCAATTTTAAAAAATAACAATACAACAATATCTTTAATTACATACCTCTTCAAACCATCTTTGATTAGCACTTTCAAGATTTTCTAACTCTTTAAGTATTACCTTTTGATTTCCAGATCTTGTTAATTGTTTTTCTTTAGAATCCCATTCTTCATAACTTCCATCTACCCAAACTGCTGTATAAATTTCAGAACATCCACCTTTAGTTAAATATTTAACATTTTGTAAATTATTGTATGCATGGAATCCATTCAACTATATTATTTGGATTAAATGTTTCTTTTTGACATTTTTGTATTAAATTATCAATGTCATTATTTCCAGATGTCCAGTTTGAAAAATTTTCTTTTAAATAATTTCGAACACAATGTTCACAATATAATGTTGCTAAACATTCATCTTGACAATTTACACAAATTCTTTTTGTCCCTTCATTATAAAGAATTTTATAATTATCATAATCTTTATTTAACAATTTTATTACTTCTGATTTTTCATCTTTTGTAAGAGTTTTATCAGCAAGAACAGTTTGTTTTTTAAATTCATGTTCTTTATCTAGAGAATTATGAATAGTAGTATCCAATAATGTATATGCTCTATTAAGAGCAGCCCAAACGACATCCTCTCGAATATCAGTCATAATGTAATTTTTAATTGCAGTATGTAAAAAAAAGAAGTCGTGAAAATTTGAAATGAAAAAAGGTATAAGGCGAGTTACACGGATTTCTAACTCCGAAATTATGTAAATATATATTTCATGCATAAGATTTTTTCCAAATTTTGAACTTTTGTACAACTTGTACGACTGTACAAAACAGAATATTATCATCATTAAATTCTGACAGGATTACCAAATAATTAATAAAACGCTTTTAAATGCTAAAAAAATAGAATAAAAAAAAAGAGAGAAATTAACCTTAAGAAGTAATGAAATAATTTAATCAGGAATAATTAAAATTAATTACTCCAAAATTATATAAGCAAATGATACTTTAAATTTTATACAATTATTACAGTAACGTTATTAAGTTTAACATATTGAAATTTTATTAAAATGTTAACTTTGTATCAATTGAAAATAATAAAATTTTTACTAATAAAATAATATTTAAGATCTGAACGTAACATGCATGATGATAATCAAATGTTTAAAATAATAAATATAATTTTATAAAAAAAAAATAGTTATAAATAGAGTAGTATTCAGTTGTTATTTTTAAGAGTTTGATTTTCTATTCCTTATTAAAAGATTGATATACTTGCTATGAAGATAAACTTTTTAGGAAAATATTTCAATGTATTTTAAGAATGATTTAATGATTTAACACATTATTTCGAATATTTCAACGTTTCAAGAATATTTTTCATAAAAATTTCCATTTAAAATTTTTTATATAGATGATAGATAAAATTTATAAAATTTCAAAGTTGGCTGACCGATGAAAATGAAGGTCTATTTATAACGAAAATAGACTAAATCATCATTATTTCTAATTTTTGTAGGACGATAAAATAAATATAAAATAAATTAAAAAACAAACTTGTAACTTTTTGTGTTAATTTAAGTTTTCAGTGTTTTGCATGAAATTAATCACATGATTGTGTTATTGTCCGGAGTGAAAGCGAAGGAAATATATTTCTACGTGCACTGTGAAAATTTTGGCACTCACGTGATCTTAATCCAATAAAATTGCAAAATTTAATTTTATCTCCTGGTTCAATAAAAAAAATCTTCGTGTGATAGAAATTGATATTTGTACGAAATTGGTGAACTTATTACTCATAGTTATTTTATGTTAAACAAAAATGAATTTACGAATTATTATTGCAGAATCATATTTTTTTTTTTTTTTTTGACATACATTTCTATCAACAACTTTTGATTTAGTGCGGCTAAAATGAGATTTCAATCGCAAAAATTTAAGACCTGTCTGACCACATATCATCTTAAACTTAGCTATTATTTATGAGGGAAGGCAATTGCCACAATCTAATAAGTCGGTCATGACCATGATCGGACTGATCAGTCAAAAGCTTTTTCTGGCCAACTATATGATTTAACCAAAATTGAATTAATTGAAAATCAAATCATTCAATTATTGAAACTATAATTCAATTTTAATAAACTTTTATTTGGTTTATAGAGCTCATTAGGTTTTATAATTTAAAAAAAAATTGAATTGTTTTAAATTGGACTACGTTCTTTTTATTGTTTCAATTAAAAAATTGGATTTGAAATATTTGAGATCATTTTTTTTTTAATATTCAATATCTTATAATATTCTTTATTTAATACTTTAATTAAAAAATATTTTGAAATCAATAAATAATATAAAAAAAATGATTACTATATTATGGATTTTTTTTAAAAAATAATTTTGTATGATTATTAATATAATGTTTTATTTTTTTATTTAATAAAATTATTGTTTTAAAAGATGAAGTTAACTGATTGCAAAAAACTGAAAATATAAATTATGTTAGAAGATTGATTTTGCTTAATAAAAACTTTTGCTAATAAAAAAAATATTACCTATATAAAAATTTTCTGGAATTCTACCTGTGTCTTGATGACAATAACTTGGAGATAATTAAATAATTGATAATAATCTAATAGAAAAGTAAAAGGAGAGGTTATCCTATGATCACTCAGATAAATGAATTATTGAATTACTAGGCTGATATCAGAACGCTCATCCACGCTTACTCAGGCATATATACCAGATTTCATCTAGACTCACAAAGAATCCCGACAAATAAGTATATTTGGAAAACCTTAGACATATATATACGTGAGCAGACCCATGAACTAAATCGTAAAAAAGCCTTCATTGCAATTAAAGCTCAACTTAGTAATTACATTCTGGAAACATTAATATTACTATGCTTGGTTATCAAATCCAACAATTTAACATTTGTTCTTCCATAGGAAGATGCTTTTATAAAGGTCTAAAACTACTCCTATTTATAAGAAATCTTTACATTATATTTAATAAGAAATCTTTACATTATATTTAATACGAATTTTACTCTATTTGATATATTCTTCCAATAAAATAACTTATAATGAGTCATAATTATTAATATTTACAATAAAGATAAATAACTAAAAACCCTGATTACTAATTTGGCTTCTTTCAATAAAATAACTTATTAAAGAGTCATAATTATTAATATTTACAATAAGATGAATAATTACAAACCCTGATTACTAATTTTCCATTACCCTATAAAAAATTTTATCCGTTACCTCTGTAAAAACTCCGTAAAAATGAGCCTTTCACGGACACGGAAAATGTAAATAAATCAATAAATTCCGTGATATAAGGCTATTAATTCCGCCTTTTACGGAAAAAAAATGGAATATAAAAAACGAATCGACTTTTTTTTACAAGGTTATATTCTTTACTTAATTAATAATTATTACTGTGTTAATAATGACTTTACAGAATATTATTCATTATTTTTCATTTAGTAAAGTAAGTCATAGTTACTAATTTTCACAATGAAATGTTTTGTGTTATAATAATTATTTTGTATCATTTCGATCTCTATGAAATTCGCTGTGCTATAATATTTTATATGAAAGAGCTAACATTACTATAAGCAAATATCATGTGATTCATTAGTAAATGTATAGTTTAGCTTATCAAGTCATCGACTCGTTCTCGCAATAACTCCAATACTCAAAAAAAGACTGATAAATCCCGAGGAGTAAAATCCTATTATAGCATAGAGAAGGAGGCTTTAACAAAGACTAACATTTGTGGCGCCCTTCTTTTTTGTAGGGCCCAAGACTGTAGTGTTTGGTGTTTAAGAAGAGATTAGGTGTTCCGTAGGATGTTGTTTTATTTTTTTATTTTTCTTGTTTTATGTTTCTGCGTCCTAGGTTTTTTTTTAGCTTCCGCTTTTTCCTTCCCCTTTTTTTTTGTCATTCTCCCGGTCCAGTGCGTTATTCTTATTCAATTTGGGCTGTAACGTAGTTTTCCAGTCTTGAATAGTTGCCCAATCGTGAGTAGGTCCTGTATGGGATGCATGCATAGTTATTGGTCGTTGTTTTAGCTTTTTTCTAAGTTTTTTTTTGATGTACTTCTATGTAACTACTCTAGATCTAAATAAATAAAAAATATAGTTTAGTTTATATGTACTTAAACCAAAATTTGTACATCTATTATTCATATTGTCTTATAATTCAGTTTATAAATAACCAAATAACACACCCTGTAAAAAAAGTTGATCCGTTTTTATATTCCATTTTTTTTTTCGTAAAAGGTTCATATTTCCGGAATTAATAACCTTATATCACGAATTTATCGATTTATTTATATTTTCCGTGAATGGATCCGTGAAAGGCTCATTTTTACGGAGTTTTTACAGAAATAACGGATAAAATTTTTTATAGGGCCAAAATTAGACAATTTTATTTGTAATAAATTTAAAATAGTATATGAATATTATTTTTAATCTAATTTGTAGTATATGATTTAAAAAAAGAAATTGGGGAAAAAATACTGGATAATTTAAAAATAAAATTTAAGATGTTTTAATTTTTTAGAAACTTTACTATTAGAAATTTGAGTCATCTTGCTTTTCTAAATGAGAATTTGAATTATCATATATGTCATCATCATCTATAAAATAAAAAACAAAATTAATAAATTATTGCTTTCTGTTATTATTATTATAATATATTATAAAGTTTTGTACCATTTATATCTAAATGATGCTTCTTTGTTTATTGCACAGTACTTGCTTTTTCATAATCATTTTGGATATCTATAAAAAATAATTATATTTAATTTAATATTGAATCTAATAAAATTATAATTAGTAATTTAATAATTTACTTACTATGATTTAAATTGATTTCTAATTTTCGAATACTTTGAGATGAAAATTAATTACAAGTACATTTATAGCTTATTATTCTAAAGTAATTTTAAATTTTGATAATAATTATTTACCTTTATATACACTATTCGATTTTGATACATTAACATTTTTTTCAACACTTGAATTATTAAAATCATCAACTAAAAGTAGAATAAATTAATTAATAAAATTGCAATTATACTGTATATTATTTTAAAGCTAAAATACTTAACCTTCATTAGGAATGTTAAAACTATAAGGTTTACTATGGAATGCTATAAAATTATATAAAATTTATTTAATTTAGGTAATATTACTAAAGTAGTATTAACAAATTATTGTTTGTACCTTCTTGCTCTTCTATTTGTATTTTATTTAAATAAAAAGAGACTAATGTTAACATATTATTTTTAAAATATAATAAAATATTACAAAGTGATATTATTACCTTCTGTTGCATTTTTTGGTTCAGGAAAATTTTCAAATTGATAAGTTTTACTAGTATAATTTTTGCTCATTGAATCGATTGAATTACTTGAATAGTAATTACTTAATTGTTGATGTTGATTAGAAATTATTTGTTCATAGCTTTCATTTTGATTGTTGTTAAAATATAATAATAATTTTTTCATTTCAAATTCTAATGTATAAACATCAGGTCTTTTTGTCAAATCAGCATCCCAACACTGTTCCATTAATTTCTTATATTCTGAAGGAGTTCCTGATACTATTTTTGGTCTCATTCCATTTACTATTTTCATTGCAAGATCATAATTATGCTCACAATTAACAAATGGTGGTTGTCCTGATGAAATTTCCCACATAAGTATACCAACACTATAAATATCAGATGCAAAAGTGGTATTTTTTCAGTAATTACTTCTGGTGCTATATAAGGAAGATTTCCATATACACTATTTAGTGGTTTATCAACAGGTCCACAAAATCCAAGATCACTAATACGAAAATTTTGACTACCTTCAAATAATATATTTCCAGAATGCAAATCTCTATGAATTGCATTTTCTTTATGAATTCTAAGAAGTGCAAGTATTATGTTATAAGCAATTTGTATCCTTTCTTTCCATATAAGATTATTATAACTTTGTTTTATATATATTCTTAAATCCATTTCCATTTTATTCATTACAAGCATATAATTTCCACTTGATGGATTTTTTGTTAAACCATAACATTGTACTACATCTGGCCACCTGTTACTTATAGTTAAATGAGATTTGCTCTAAAAAATTATATATATAATTGTTAACCAATTTCAAAAATAATAATATAACAATATTTTTAATTACATACCTCTTCAAACCATCTTTGATTAGCACTTTCAACATTTTCTAACTTTTTAAGTATTACATATTGGTCTCCAAATCTTGTTAATTGTTTTTCTTGTGAATCCCACTCATCAAAACTTCCACCTATCCAAACTGCTGTATAAATTTCAGAACATCCACCTTTAGTTAAATATTTAACATTTTGTAAATTATTATATGGAATCCATTCAATAATTCTATTTGGTTGCAATATTTCCATTTGACATTTTTGTATTAAATCATTAATGTCATTATTTCCAGATGTCCAGTTTGAAAAATTTTCTTTTAAATAATTTCGAGCACAATGTTCACAATATAATGTTGCTAAACATTCTTCTTGACAAATTTCACAAATTCTTCTTGTTCCTTCATTATAAAGAATTTTATAACTGTCATAATCTTTATTTAACGATTTTATTACTTCTGATTTTTCATCTTTTGTAAGAGATTCATCAGCAAGAACAGTTTGTTTTTTAAATTCATGTCGTTTATCCAAAGTATTATGAATATTAAAATCTACTAATGAATATGCTCTATTATACGCAGCCCAAACAACATCCTCTCGAATATCAGTCATAATGCAAGTTTTAATTACAGTATGTAGTGAAAATTTTGAAAATTTTAAAATGAAAAAAGGTGAGGATTTCTGGCTCCCGAAATTATGTAAATATATATTTCATGCATAAGGTTTTTCCAAATTTTGAACTTTGTACAATTTGTACATCTTACCACACCACCCTCGGCTATATGTTTATGGTAACACAGGTGACATATTATGCAGGTGACAAATAGAGATCAGACTACAAAAAAAATTCTAAGTCGCTGAGATAAATATAAACAACGCGAACGCGGCAGTCACGTGTACGGTGACGGTTAGGCACCACAGTGACCACACCTTTCCGAGGTGGTGGTAAGATCATTCTTTGTACAATTGTGCAACAGAATATGATCAACATTAAATTCTCGCAGAATTAACAGGATTATCAAATAATTAAAAAAAAGCTTTAAATGCATTTTCAATCTCTAGAAGATAAAATAAAAAACAAGAGAGAGAAATTTGCCAAAGAAGCAATGAAATAATTTAATCAGAAATAATTAGAAAAGAGTTCGTTATGCAGTAAAATGTTGCGCAGCAATCACGTGATATAACTGGACCATCAATGTAGCAAAATGTCGAATATGTTCGACATGTTCGATATGTTGCATATGTCCGATATAATTAACCTTCTGCTTTATTATAAATAAACATTTTTTAATGTATAGCTTATTTTTAAGCGTATAAGAACTGACATATAATAATATAAACAAATGATACTTTAAATTTCATACAGTTATTACAGTAGTAACGAAATTAAGTTTGCCATTTTGAAATTTTATTAAAATGTCAACTTTATATCAATTGAAAATAATAAATTTTTATTATTATAATAAAATTCGAAATAAACATTAAACAAATTATGAAAATATTTAAGATTTGAACGCTAACATGTATGATTATAATCAAATGTCTAAAAATAATAAATAATTTCAAAAAAAAAAAAAAGTAATTATAAATAGAGTATTGCTATTTTAAGAGTTTTATTTTTTTTTCTATTTCTTATTAAAAGAGTGAAATTCTTGTTATGAAAATAAAACTTTTTAGGAAATATTTCAATGTATTTTAAAAAATGACTTAATGACCTATCATATTATTTCGAATATTTCAAACGTTTCAAGAATATTTATAAATAAAAAAAATTATTTTATAAATGAATAATAAACAGAAACTCGAAGTTGACCATCCAATGAAAATGAAAGTATTACAAAAGTAATTGTATTTATCTTTCAAGTATCATAAGTATCATATTGGTATAAAGCCCCTTTGTTTTTTATTTGGTTTCATATTTATTTTTGCCGTCTTAATAAATCTATTAACCAAATAGTAAACTTCTAAAACTCTTTTGTGTATAGGAATCACATGACCATATTCAATAAACACTCGAAATTGTTTTTAAAATACACGACAGGAAGAGTAGAGTGTCGCACGATAAAGTAATAATATTATTTTTAGGACAATAGCAAAAAAAAATGAATATAGTAAATAAAACTAAAAAAAAATAAATAATAAATAAATAATAAATTTTACTCCTTTTTTTTAATACACATTTTAAGTTAAATACGTATATTCATAGTATTCTTTTGTTTACTCATTTTAATACCTTTGTCAATTCCGAAGAGAATTATTTACAAATAGTAATCAATTAAATATCGAATTGAATTTTCTCTCGTCTCGTACAGTACTGCGACATCATGCAGCCCGATGATCGCTATTGGAAATATTGAATAGTGTTGTGACCATATTGTTTGATTACATCATGACACACTTTCAAAGAGATCGGCATATACGGAAAATATTTGTTATTCAAATAACCTTATTCAGATATAATCTTTTATCCGAGCAATTGTTATTGTTAAACAACCGCAGCAGTTTGATTTATTTTTAAGACGAAATTAAAAGCTTTTCCCCTACAAATCTAGAATTTCTCGCTAATTATTTTCACTACTAAATAAACGAACAAGAACTTAAAAAAAAATTTTTATGATGATTAAAATTCGAGAAGCATTAGTCTATGCTGCAATAAGTAGAGCATACGAACTAGTAGATTACAATGTACAAACCAATTTGAACAAACGCCATGAATTTAGGAAGAAAACTATCATCAACGATAAAACTCTTACGGAAGATGAAAAACGGGTTGCAATAAATAAACTGAATAAGGATTATGATCATTTTACGATCTTATTTAACAATGGAGAAGGGAGGATATGTGAAGATTGTTATAATGAATGTTTAGCAAAATCATATTGCGAAAATTGTTTAAGAAATTATTTAATAACAAAATTTTCAGATTGGTCATCTGGAAATATTGACATTGATAATCTATTACAAAAATGTCAAATGGAGTCATGCGCTCCAGATATGATAGTTGAATGGATACCATTCAATAAATTAGAAAATATTATTTATTTAACTAAAGGTGGATTCTCCGAAATTTATACTGCGGACTGGACTGATGGATGTTATAATGAATGGGATCCCATAAAAAAAGAGTTAAAGAAATTTGGAGTGCAAGAAGTAATACTTAAAAAATTAGAAATTGCTGAAAGTGATGATAGAAATTGGTTTGAAGAAGTATGTAAAAAGTTTTTTTTTTTAAAAAAAAAATATTTGTTAGTTTCTTGCTTAGATTTTTAATATATATATATATATATATATTTTAAAAAAAAATCCTGCTAAAATATTTATATTTTTTTTAGAGTAAATCTCATTTAACGATAAATAATATCTATTCGAATGTCGTACCATGCTATGGATTGACAAAAGACCCGAATGGAAATTATATGCTTGTAATGAATAAAATGAATATGGATTTAAGGACGTATTTGCAAAAAAATCATAATAAAATTACATGGCAAGAAAGGATACAAATTGTTTCGAATATAGTATATACACTATTTCGAATTCATGAAATTAATGCAATTCATAGAGACTTACACTCGGGAAATGTTTTGTACTACGAAGATAATCAAAGCTTTCATGTTAGTGATTTCGGATTTTGTGGACCTGTTGATAAGCCATTGAATAGTATATATGGAAATCTTCCTTATATAGCACCAGAAGTTATCATTGGAAGAGAAACAACTTTTGCTTCTGATATTTATAGTATCGGTATGCTTATGTGGGAAATATCATCTGGACAACCACCGTTTATTAATTATGAGCATAATTATTTACTTGCAATGAATATAATAAACGGGATGAGACCAAGAATAATTCCAGGAACTCCTTTAGTGTATAAAGAATTGATGGAAAAATGTTGGAATGCTGATCCAACAAAACGACCTGATATTATAGATATCGATAATGAGGTTTATAAAATGAGGAAATTATTTCATGATGATGAATTAGGACAATTATATGATACGAATAGAATTTTCTTATATTCTAATCATTATTATGATTCGAGTAGTAGAATTTACGAATTTAGAAATCTTCCCGAACCAAAAAATGCAACAGAAGGTACGAATTAATAAACCTATACAAAGTTTTTTTGATTAAAATAAAAAATTAATTAAGTTTATATTTTTGTTTAAATAAAAAATAGAAGAACAAGAAGGTATACTATTATATGTTATTTTATAAAATGATTTTTATTTTCATATGATAATTATATTTTTTAAAATATTTTTCTTAATTTTAAAAGCATTTCCAAGTAAGACTATTAATAGTTTCAACATTGATAATTGTAAGTAATGAATCATTTGATAAAGTTACACAAAATGACGTAATATACGACTATATCGACAAATTATTGATTCCATGTAATTTTTTTTTAGTGGACGAATTAAATAATACGAGTAGCAATGGAAATATCAATTCATGTAAGACTTTTAATGCAGGTACTTTTTAATAATTATATCTCTTTCCAATTTATTTAGGTACAAATGTCTACTAAAAAATCATGAAATAATGTTGATTAATAAGTATTGATCTTTTATAGATATCACAACAAATTCTGTTAATTACTTTTTGTAGTTAGATATTTTTTTTTCTTATTTGTAATTTTGAAAATTTTGAATAATTCTTTTCTTTTTTTTTACCAACTGCAACTGTATTTATAAACTGTATTTATAAACTGTATTTATCTGCTGTATTATAACTCACTCAAATTATTTAATCGTACTATATAACTGAAATAAATAATAAAATTTCTAAATTAATCATAACTGAAAAATTACATATCGAAACCTCAAATTAGGTTTAAATATTAATGCTGAAAAATACATTTTACTTTTAATATTCTTTTTTTTTTTAAAAAAAAAAATTAGCATCGCATGTGTTTATTATATTTTACGAACGTATATATAAACAAAATACATAGAAGTGACGTCGGACAACGACAACCCTATAGCTAACTAGTCTATCTAATAAAAATAAAAACAAACTAAACTAAAACCACCGGACGCTGCTATAAAATACATATAATATATACAAAAAAATGATACCCATCTTTTTGTAATAAAATAAACGAGAATGTGTTACCTTTGTTAAATTGTATATAAAAACTGCTATTCATCTTAAATTTGCGTAGGAAATTCAATATATTTTCGTCTTCAACCTATTTGTAAGATTTTGATCTTATCAGCCGAAGCAACAATTTCAAATTCATATATTTAAATTTTGAAGTAGAGCTTCGATCTTAAATAATATATGATCAGTAGGAATACTGCACACTAGAGTTATCGGTTAAAACCTGACGAAAGACTTCACTTCGTTCAACGCTCAAACTTTATGGTTTGACGTTATAGTGACTATGAAGATTATTACAATATTATTCATACATTACAAACTCCATCATAAAGAACAATAACACAAATCTTAATCGTCATTATCCATTACCAAGAAAAATATTTATTATTAAATTTTGATTATGCCTCTAATTATTATATCCTGTTAGAAAATAATATCATATACATATTAGTATAGCCTTCGTACAGCTAATGTAATTATTACTTTGAAGTTTACAAGTTTTAATTTTGGAGCATTAACCCTTGTTATACTTTGAAATGAATTTTATAGCTATTTGCTAAAATAAATTTAAAGAAAGTTATTTTTTTTTGAGATGAAAGTTTGAGGAACAAAATATAAATATTCTATTTTTCGTATTACAAAAATAATTCGTGTCGTGAATATAAAATAAGTTATAAAGTGTCAGACATACACTATTTATTATGTAAAGATCCAGGTGTGTCTTCTTCGGCAGGTGAGCGTCAACTAAATTACTATTTAATTAAAATAATCGTTTACTTGCTTTTGATAATTTTATCTAATCACCACCCACTTTTTGTGGGCGTGGTGATGAATAGGGACTTAAACATCACATATATAAAAACCGCGCCCACAAAACGATGTGAATTATATGGTACCATTTATTTAACAAAAGTTACAGTGACGCAATATCGGACTAGTTGATAATTTTCTCGGTTTAACTTTTCTAACACGCTACACGGCTACAGTATATGAGTACTTCGAAAAAAAACCTTCAGCTTGGGATATTTTGTATTTCCTAAATGAATGCGACCAAGAGAGCAGGCTTTATCTTACGTCCTCAAAATAATCATTAAGCTTGAGGCAGATAACCCAAGGCGAAAACGAGAAAATAACCATAGACAGGCAAGTTTTAAGACCTTTTTGATTAAATTGGACAAATAATTGTTTGGAGTGGCAGGACTTTTAACATTTCTGTAGCTTTTACGAAGTTAGTGTTGGGGCGCAGGTGAATTTTAACTTTATATGGAGTTCAAAATTTAAGCTTAACCCAATACTGGCCCCGTAGGGCGCAGATGAATTTCAACTTTGTCATATGTTCAAGATTTAAACTCGATCTGATGGGAGAATCAGGAACAGTCAGTTGTGGACATTAAAAATTTTACTTTCCAAATTTTACATAGCTAGGGTTCTCGATCATATTCGGATTAAATGCTTTTATTTGACATTTTTTGTATTAAATTATCAATATCACTAGTTCCAGATGTCCAGTTTGAAAAATTTTCTTTTAAATAATTTCGAACACAGTGTTCACAATATAATGTTGCTAAACATTCTTCTTGACAATTTTCACAGATTCTTTTTTGTTCCTTCATTCGATAGAATTTTAATATGATCATAATCTTCATTTAGAAGTTTTATTGCTAATAACTTTTCATCTTTTGTAAGAGATTCATTAGTAAAAATAGTTTGTTTTCTAAGTTCATGTCGTTCATCTAGATTATTACAATTGATATAATTTGATAAATATGCTCTGTTAAATGCAGCCCAAACAGCATCTTCTCGAATATTAGTCATAATGTGGTTGAAAAAAGGAAGTCTATTTTCAATGGTTGAATTTTGTACAATTTGTACAATAGAAATACCATCATGTTCCTGCATGAAATATTTAGAAATCTACAAGTTTATTTCAAATTATATAAATAAGTAATATTCTGTAATTCTGATTTGTCTAAATATATGATATCATAGTGTTGCGATCCGTTGAGTCAATCCGCCAAGCAATCCACGGATTTATCCGATTCCGGATGAATATACGAATGATTCACGTCTGCTATTTCTGTATATGAATTCGGATCCATCCGTTTGCGGATCATCCGTTATTTACGGGATTTTTATATTCGGGATCATCAATTTAGATCGGTAAGGACCATAAGAGACTGCTCCTATGTGATCTATGTGATCCAGTCTTTTTCCACATAGGACCGGAGAGGACCATGGTTGGTTTTTTAGGACCATTGACCATCTTTAGATACAAAATTTTGGATCACTTAAATGAAAATGGAAACAATAATAATTTTATTTAATAAAAAGAATTAGAAATATTGGATGAGCAAAATAAATATTCAAACTTTCATAAATTTGACTATTGCGCTTGATTTTTTTCCATCTTGCTTATTAAAGAGCGAAATTCTTCTTATAATAAATTATATTTCCAATATAGTGTTAATAATAAAGTTGTTGTAATATTTCGACATTTTTAGGATTTCTTTTTTTTCATATAAATTTTCGTTCAAAATCTTTTTTAAATTTATAACAGTTACTGGAAATTTCATATACAGATCATTTCAGAATTGTACTACTCCATGTAAATTACTTGACAGGACGATTACCGGACAAAACCTGGCCGGTAATCGTCCTGTAATTATAATCACCCAATAATCAAAGAAATTATTTTGTTATAATATTAATCAGATTATTACATTTAAATAGTTAGACGATAAATTCTAAATGTACCATTTAAGAAATTGATAGTTTATCGTATCATGTGTTCTATCCCTTACTTTCCGATCTTTAATAACAATTATAACAATTGTTTTTACAAAAAACTTTTCCTTAAAAACACACTTTTTTCAAGATTAAAGTTGAAGTATAAAGAAATTTGTAGTTTTAAAAGCCAAAATGGATGTAATTTTATGAATAGAAAAAGTTTTTTTAAGCTTGTAATAGTGGTTATTCAGGTAGGTTTTGCAAAATTACATTATTTCTTAATATTATTAAACTTTTGGAGCCTAACTTTTCCACTTTAGTTAAAGAAAATAACCTTTTATTGCTTAAATAAAGTTGTTTAACAAAGTCAAATCTGATCTTAATTCGTATATAAGATTTCAATTAATATTTGGAGATATTTGTATTTTTCATAATAATACAAACATTTTTTTATCTATAAATTTAGAGCGTAATTTTAGTACTTTGATCAAATATAATCATCTACTGCGGTTTATGTAAAGGGTTAAACTACATGTGATTAAATTTTATAAGGTTGCAATGAATCAATACAAATTTTTCGTAACTGAACTAACTTTTGATTCTAAATTTTTTTACATCTGTTTAGTGACTTTAGAACGAAGTAATTTGCTTTTTATTGTTTAAGCAAAGTTGTTCAACGAAGTCAAAAACTAATTGTAATTTCAATTTAAGATTTCAATTGGTACTCATGGAGAAATCAGTATTTATATATTTTACATTCATTCAGTAACTTTAGAGCATAATTTTGATACTTTTGTCAAAGCAAAACACCTTTTATTGTTCGAGTAAAATTGTTCAGAAGGGGTCGAAACCACTTTCGTATCAATTTTTTATTAGAATTAAATTGATATTTATGGAGAAATTAGCATTTTTTGGTACTAATTTTCGATTTTTAAATTTTTCATCATTTTAATAAAGAAAATACATTAATTTCAAATAAAGATTCAAGTTGAATAACAAAGATTAAATTTTACTATAAATTTATGTAAGTGGTTAATAAGTTTTATTTTCACTTTTAAGTTGAAGTATTATATTGTATAAATATAATAATGTTATGTATTTTTTTAATTTTAACTTAATTTAGGCCGGCACTATAAAATTGGCCAGCATTATAAATTAATTTTGACCAACTTTAATTATACAGTATAATATATTAATAAAGATGTTGCGCCACAGATTTTTTTTAAGACATTTCCAGTAACTGGTAAGATTTCAAGCCGAGTCAAATCATAGATATCCAATTTTATATTTATCAAGTTCTTTGTAGTTGAAAAACTATTTGATTCTTTAATTTACTGTATATTTATTTTATTACAAATTTTTAAAAGCCTTTTGTTTTTCAGGGATCTGAACTTTTATGTTACGCAAATAATGGTTAAACATCACGAGATCATGTTTTTTTAATAAAGAGACATGGTAAGTTGTTCATTATGAAAGTCAAATTTCATACGGTAATTATTTTTTTTATAACTAGCAGAATAAAATTTTGATAGATGCATGAAATTCTAAATTTACTACTATATTGATTCAAAAAAACAAATAATTAATTTATCATGATTCTTTAACATATAAATAATTATTAACCACACGTCTATTCATAATATTTTGACGTTATTATCAATTTTAATCATAGTATTGTACATATTTAATTGATAAAATTATTAACTCTTTAATATAATAATATTAATATTTTAATATATTACATATCATAAATCATAACCATCATCTTGAAAGAAAATCTGTTGAAAGTACTTGTTTAATTAGTCTAATTAGTTAATAAGTAAAATGTATAAAAAATAAGTTTTTAAAAAAAGAAGCCATACGGCTTTATAGATCATATAATAATAAAGCGAACTTTAAACAACCCTAATAATGATTATATTGGATCTTTGGGGCTTATTGCATTAATATATCAATTTGTGGCACAGTTAAATTATAAATTCGAGGCGCATTTTCCTTGGATGAGTTATTGGGTTGTTTCAAAAATTAATTATTAATTACTACGCTAAAAAAAATTAATTTTATAAATAAAATATGATCTTGAATGTCTGTATAAAAACTAATGTTTAATTTTCCTGACATTATTTATCATATTGAATTTTATATTTACTATTAAATTCGAATAATAAATTACTGTAATTATTATAAAAGAATTTTAAAAAATAAATTTACACATTTGATCTAGTGTAATCAAAAATGAGATTTCAATCGCAAAAATTTAAGATCTTACACAAGAAACTATTAACATATTATAATAAATATATCTTAAACATGTATATAATTTACTTTGATTTAAAAGAGATTGCGGTCACACAGTAGTTTACGTCAGACATATCCACATTTCAAAGATTATAACATAAATAAATATTTTATTATGAACTTAGTTTTAATCCCTTTTTTTATGCTGCTCTCATTCTATTAGCTCTTGTTTTCTGAAGTATGAGCCTGTTACAGCTGATTTCATAATGTACGGGACACTTGGCAAAATTTAAAGAACTCGGAAATATTCGGTAAAGTTCAATATAAGATAAAATTATACCATCATTCTCGGAATAGTACTCCAAAATTAGCGTATAATTTTTATTTTATATCAAGCTTTACCGAATACTTCCGAGTTCTTTAAAATTTACCAAGTGTCCCGCACATTATGAAATCAGCTGTAATTGAAATAATGTAAATTCACTATTTTTTTTTAGCCGGATGATTTAACCGACCATTAAATTATTCGCATTTTCAAAAAAAAAAAAAAGAAAATAATAAGTATTTTCAAAATGGGTACTTTGAAAAGGAAATTATTTTTTAAGAAAAAATACACGTATTTTTTTTTATTAAAATAAAGTCGGAATTATTCAATGGTAACATGCATGACCAAAATCGCACCATTAGCGTTTAACTGTTTTCTTAGTCGCAATGATAGAGTTATATCTCCTCAAACTACCACCTATTCAAAAACCTATTACGGAGCTTACGTGTACCAACGATTCAATATGGATACGTTTCACAAGCTTAACCTTTTACACAATCTCATCTAGATTTCGATGTTTCTTTATCTTTTTTTTTCTATTTCCCCGATTTTGATGTTTAGTTCGCTACAACCTTTGTAATTCCTATCCTGGCGAATTAGTTTATTTTAGGGTCTGTATATAGAGCAATATCAATAGATCACTACATGGGATATTAGTTTATCACTTTTCTTATTCTTCTTTGTAATCTATCATATTGACCACTTTTATCATCAAATCAAATCAAATAAAATAAATAATAGAAATTGATTATAATGATTAACTTGCGATAAATTTGATATTTTTGAAATTTATTACCTACAATTTATTCGAATAAATTATTATTAGCAACAAATTTGATTTAGTATAACCAAAATGAGATTTCATAAATTGGACTACTGATCGGTAAAGTAAACCATAAAAAAACTGTATTTTAATTTGTTCTTTTTATTATTCCAACTAAATCAATGAAAAAAAAAATATTTTGAAAATTAATAAATAATAAAAATGAATAATAATTTTGTAAAATTATTAAATATATTTTTTATTTTTTTTATTTAATAAAATTATTGACATATTTGCAATATAGCTACAATTAGGATAATATGAATTATATTTACAGTATTAAATTAATCTAAATTATATTTGCAACTAATATGTGTGATTAAATATTTTGAAAAACTTCATTATATACAATGTTTTTGCCTTTATTTTTTTGATTTTTATTTCTTAACCATTTTTTACGTTGTTTAGGTGTTTCACTTTCAAGCATTTTTTGAAGAAGTATATTATGTGGAATTTACGATTTATTTATATATATTCACAATTTCATTATATAGCCTATCATTATATATAAAAAATTATCTTTTAAAAAAACTATTATCTGTTATATTGTTACAAAGAAAAAAAAAATTTTATTTTATCATCACATTATAACAACAAAATTTTTTTCTATATGAGCTATAATTATTATTATTAGTTAGTATTAACAAAGTACCAGTTGACGTTGCCTCATTCTGCTAATTATAAAAGATAATTACCGTATGAAATTTGACTTTCTTAATGAACAAATTACGACGTCTCTTTACTAATAAATCTTGTGATGTTTAAATTACTAGATAACTATAATTTAGATAGACTTGAAATTTATAATTTCTTATCATTGAATGGAAATAAAAAAAAAGAAATGTTATCTGTAAAATAATTTTTAGAAATTGAGTTTTAACATACGAATAGAAACTTTTTTCGGGTCGACGAAATATATGACGGTATAGAATAAGTTCACTATTTTTATGTACGTTTCGATTAATGATTCTGCATTTTTTCCTTGTATTAAAAATTTTAGTAGGGAAATTACATATTGCAAAGTATTCGTGATATTTAGCAAATTAGTAAATGATTAACAGTTGATCATGTTGTAGATGACGTAATTATTTTGACGTTTTCAAGATTCTTTTTTTTAAAAAAAAATGATAAATGAATTATAAAATTTTTGAAGTTGGCTATTCAATGCAAAAAAAAATAAAGAATCTACTTAAATAAAATCATAAGCGTCCAATTTTCTACTTATCAAGATCTTTTGTCATTTAATTATTAATTTACAGTATATTTATTTTATTAGAAATTTCCATAAGCCTTTTGAGATTCAGTGATATGAACTTTATGTCACGTATTAAGAGATCCTTAGAAAAACGTGCAACGATTTAAGTTATTCATTAAGAAAGTCAAATTTCAGAGCAGGTACATTCTTTGCACGGCAGAAATCAAGAAAGAAGAAGGCGGGATACGGTAATTTTGTCTTTATATAATTAAGTGAATAGGAAACGAACCATATGACCGATAACAAATCATTGCGTAGTAAAATAATCATAGGAATTCTATATCTTAGAAAATTTAGTAGCACGATATTTATACCATCGGTATTATGTATACACCGATGGAATTTTTTATAAATACTCCACCGGTATAATTTATTTTAATACATTAATTTATCATGATTATTACTACAAAACTAAGATTTTTTTTCATATAAATTATTTTCAACCACACACGTCTATCCATAACCTTTTAGTGATATGATCTCATAGTATTGTGCATATTAATAATATGTTTCGTTAATGATATTATATTTACTATTTAATTTACTAATTTAACTTTTGAAATAGCCAGATTAAAATGATATCACATGGTATTAATACGTTTCATCAGTGTTGTGACTGGGACTGGGACATGTCCTTGGATGGGACAGGACAGGACAGTCCAGGACTTGGACAAGATGTTGTTGATGTCCAGGACAAAAATTCATTATAAGAGGATATATGATTTATATATAATATTAATAAATTGGACAATGTTTTGGACGGGACAGGATGGGACAAATGAAATTGGACTTGGACAGGACATTAAAATTTTGTGGGACACTGTCCCGCCACATCACTGCGTTTCATCATCTTCATTTTGAAAAGAAAAAAAATCATATAAAATAAATTTTAAAAAAGAAGCCATACAGCTTTATATATCGCATTATCCAATAATATAAAGCCTTAATGATTATTTTTCCTTCCTATATATAATTATCTTTGCATCAATTTAAAGTATTCATGAACTTTATTATATATTGAAAATAGCAGGTTTTTTACTTGTAAAGAATTCGACTAATTAAATTATTAAAAATTAAAAGGTTGTTACTTATGAAAGTTGGCCAATAATGATTGATTTGGATAAAAATATATTTAATTAAATTTATTATAAAATATGATTTCCAGTAAATTTTGGTAATGAAACATTTCAATAAAGTAAAATATATATATAACGGAACTAGTGATAAAATTGAGAATGATCGACAACTAAGAAGTTTCATGGTAAAGGTAATATGTTAGGAAGTAAACGTGAAGAAGAGTTAGAAGAAAAGCTCTACATCGCTCTCAATTCTGTCACAAAACTTTGTGAGAAATGCAAGAAATTACAGAACTTGTATAAAATACATGTTAAAGAATCCAAAAAGGAAATCTTAACCTTACAGCGTGACTTGAAAAGGGTAAATGATGATATAACTCGAATTACAGAATATATGCAAGACGTAATTGATGAGTTCAAACAATTGCGCTCTGATGCGAATAGTGTTTCAAAACTCAAAATGGATATCGCTAATCTCAAAGGACAACTCCAATCCAAAATATCTGAACTGGACAGCAGTTACATGCTAAGTCAAGGGAGGTGGATGTACTATATTCGAGAATCAGATATTGAGAATAACTTATCTTCAAAAATAGAAGAGTTACGTACACTGAAATCTTAGCTGGATTTGATACTACGCCACAATATTAGTTATGAATATCATTGAATAATGATGTGCAACTGTTTGGTTGCACAAATCATACTAAATAAGTTCATTTTGAATGGACGCTTGTTACAATGTAAATTTACGCCAACTTGCAGTTGTACAAACTTACATTTAAACGAAAATCCTAAAAATCTTACGCCGTTAGAGGTTTAATTCCTTTTGCAACAAAAAAAAAATATGGAAGGAAGTTCAAGTCAGGTAAATTATAATTTTAAGTAATATTAAATATTTTAATTAATAAATAATTGGGATTATAATAATTTTAATAATATTTAGAGCGGAAGTTTTTCTAGCAATATTATTTCAGAAATTCACGACTCTGTTTTTTCATATAAAACGGCTTCGCATGAAAACTTCTTCAACAATAGTATTCTTCTAAAATTAGAAGAGGATGGATTTACAACTCCCGATGAAAAGGCAAAAGAACTTATTAAAGAATTGACCGACATAAAATATTTATATGCATTAAAATTACTTTTTGAAAATTTACAAAATGAATTTTCACCTCAAATTCTTCGAGACACTTTAATTGCCTTGGCGGATCCGACACCATTCGATTTTTATGCAAAACAAAGTATGACTAAATTGGAGTTACATTTAAGAACTTGGGTAACAGTCTTAGAAAGGATATGCTTTTCGCCAATAGTACTTAGTAAAGAACTTCGAGATAAAGTTTATAATTCTTTATCAAAATTTGCAGAAATTCATCGTAAAACAACACAAGTTATTGAAATAGGACTTGATAATAATTTTAGATCAAATTTTAACCAATTAAATCAACAAAGCAATAATCAAGATGATCAAATTATCACCAAAAAGCGTAATTATAACATTGACTTCTTATTAATCCACTTACGAGAAACATTACATAGTTTGCGTGATGATGAAACTTGGATTCAAGAAATTATACGAAGAACTAAAGAATTACTTAAAGCTGCATTGAATATTACCCCAGGAGTTTTATCAGCAACAGGAGTCGATCTTCCAAATGATAATTGTTCAATCTTATCAATGCTTACTCAAATACGTAAATGCTTAAGTTTTAAATATCCTGTAGCAAATTATTATGTAGATTGGAGAATTATGTTGATGATTCAACATAATCTTTTTACTTGGTCTGAAGGTACTAAAACGATAATTAGTAAAAAATTCTGTGAATTGGTATTAATGGAACATCTTTGGAGCTTTTTGGAAAGAGAATGGATTGATGTAACGAATAAATCTATTTTAGATTCTCAAACAAAATTTGATGAAGTATCAAATAAAGTTACTAAAGCTTTAAAAAACACTGGAAGTTTATTAAATGATCTCGCTGGAAATGAACCTATTGCATTACCACATACCTTATGGTTTGGAATATTGGATCTTGCACAAAACCTTATTCAAAAATCTACTCAAACTTCTACATATGGTCTTTGTTATTATTTAGCAATTGAATCACTTAATAAAGCTCCAAGTAGTTTCATTCAATTTAAAGCAGTTGAAATTTTATTACATTTACATAATATAGATAGTAAAATGTTTTCAATGATTGAGGATGATTTTGATCAATATATAAAAGAATTAAATGAAAAAAAATCATCAGATTTTTCAGAAAAATTTCAAAATTTATTATTATTTATTAAAGAAAAATATCTTGAAGATTTAAAAATTTCAAATGAAAATATTGGAAAAGAAAAGAAAGGAAAAGGAAAAGGAAAAAGTTTAAATAAAAATTCATATTTAAAGAGAGAACAAACATCAAATTCTAATGTTATAGATGTTATAGCAAATGAAATGACTTGTCCAGTTAGTAGTGAACCAGAGGATCAATTATGTATTTTAAAATGTCAACATATATTATCATTAAATAATTTAAAATTATTAAAACAAAAATTATGTCCTAAATGTCGAGAAAAAATTGAAGAAAATGATATCAGATATTTACCACAAAATTCTATTTATATACTAAATTTTCTGAATCTGGACATATTATACCTCCAATTAAATCAGAAAATTCAGATCAAATATATGATAGTGATGATTCAAATAATTCAGAAGCTGATCTTATATTAACTAAAAAGAAGAAATCTATAAGTTCAATTATTAAATTAAATTCAAATATATCATTATCATCAATACTTCCAAAATTTTCAAAAAAACAACATCCAACATATCAAAATATTATAAAAGAAATAAATGAAAAACATTATGAAAAAGCTGAATCATTATGTAAAGAATTTTTAAATTTTTTTCCTAAAAGTTATTCTTTAAGATGTATTTTAGGTTATATTTATAGATGTCTTAAAAATTATGAACAAGCACACTTTTATTTGAAAGAAGCCATTAATTTAAAACCAAAAGGACCTATTGCTTATTTAATTTGTGGAGAAATATTTTTTTTGCAAAGTAATTATGAAGAAGCAATAAATAATTTAGAAAATTCAAAAAATTATAAGGCTAAAATAAATAACTTATATATAATACTTGGAAATAGTTACTTATTTTATAAAAGGTATGGTAATGCAAATAGTAGTTATAATTTTGCATTAGAAAATAGTCCAGATAATTATTTATGTCTTAAGAATATTGCATGTAACTATGTAAAGTGGAATTCTTATAATAATGCTTTAGAAAAGTTAGATAAACTGCTGAATATCAACAAGGATAATTCTTTAATTTTATGTTATTATGGAGAGATTTTATGTAATATAGGACAATATAGTAAAGCTATATCATATTTTACAAAAGCAAATATTATTGATCCAGAAAATACTCATAATTTAAATAAAAGAGCTATTGCATATTATACTCTTCAAGATTATAATAAAGTTTTATTAGATCTTGATAAAGTTATACAATTAGATCCATTAAATAGTTTAGCATATTATCTCAAGTGTATAATTTATTATACAAAAAAAGATATTGATAATGCTAAAATGGTATTTAAAAAGTGTAAAGAATTATTGGATTTTAATGATATATTAGCAAAAACTCAACTATTTCATCTGGAATGTTTGCTGAATAAAAATAATTCTACAGAATTAAATAATATATTAACAAAAATTAATCAAATTTCTAATATTAAAGATAGTGAATTACTAATTTTAGTTAGATGCAAAGTATATGTAGAATTAAAAATGTATCATGAAGCAATGTTAGACTTGAACTTATTATATACTAAAACTCATAGTCATATTGATGATATCTTTTATATTTATTTATTACGAGAATACATGGATTTTTGGTTATATTTAAATGTTAATAACAACAATAATAATGATCTCTCTGAATTTGGAATTGTTAATGAATTTAGTAAATACATGTATAAAAGTAAGAGAATGTTTAATTTGTTAACTTCTTATAATATTTAATAATTAATCTTATTGATTATTTATAATAAATTATTTTAGGACTACGAGTTTATTTTATATCAAATCTGGTAAATTTAAATAGCAAACTTCATCAACTTCAAGAAAATGATATATTACTGTCTCTTATACACATCTAGATGTGTATAAGAGACAGACTTCAAGAAAATGATATAAATAGGTAAGTGGATGTATTATTATATATTTTAAAATTTTCAAAAATTGTGGTAAATGTTTTAACTTTGAATTTCTTAGTTTATCAGAAAAGATAATAAGTTCAAAAAATGAAGAGCTTTATTTGAATTTGCCCATGCTATATTTTCGGTATTATAGAATTATTTGGAAAATAAATGTTAAAGAAATACTAAATAAAGATTGCTTTATAAAATTTATAATTAAAAGCACTGTAAGTTTTATTAATTGCTAAAATCTCTTTTTTCACTATTAAAAATGTTATTTTTAATTAATATATGGATTTATTATAGAATTCTGAACAGTATAAGGATTCTGAACTAGAACATTATGAACATGTGTTAAAATATGAAGATGTGTTAAAACTTGAGGGATTAGATTGGATTGAATATCAGTTTCCAATAATTGTAAAAGAAGTTTATGTACAACCTTCAATTGAAATAAATGGTTCTATTAATATGGTATATTTCTATTTTACTTGTAACTTTTTATTTAAAAGAAAATTGATTTTAGTAACTCATCATTATTTATTTTTTATAGCAAATAGATTATGTTCGATGTGGGTTTAATGAAGAAGAGATAACTTATATTCCTAACATAGGTGATTTATTACCAAATTTTCATAAATTTTGTCCACATGTTCCAGAAACTTTTAAAGATAAATATTTTTCAAGAAAAGAAATGGAAAATTTGCTTGAGCTGAAAGATATAATTAACCACCTATGACTGTTTTTTTTTAATTTTTTTAAATTAAACTGTTTTATTTTTTTTTCATTTGTAATATTTTAAAATTAGTAAATTCATTTTATTTATTATAAATAAACTTCAATTTAAAATAATTAAACTAATATTTAAAACTTTAGATAGCACTGACCTTGACCCAAACCTAAAAGGCGAAAGAACGAAAAAAAAATAGAAAGAAAAACAATACCTATTAAACCTCTTATCGTATAATATTCTTTATTTAATGTATATATTAAAGTAATATATATAAGTGTATGAATGAATGTACGTAATGTACAAGTTTATAATGTAAAAAGTTTATAAGTGAATTGTTATACATAATTTTATTTCTTTTTTTTTAATTATGTATTTGTAAGCCACTTTGGCTTAGGATTTTTAGTAGAAAAAGAAAAAATTTATAAATTTGGAATTGATCTTTATAGGAAAAAATTCAAAAAAGAAATCAAAATAAATAAATAAATAATAATATTAATAACAAAAATATAAGAAAAATTATAAAAAATGTTTTCTCTAAAAAAAAAAATCAAAAAAAAAGAATTTAAATAATAAAAGCTCTAAATAAAATCCTCAATTATTGTCAAGGTAATCTATTTGCTCTATCGTGGCCATTTCACATAATAGTGACAGGATCGAGTAACTCAGGTAAAACTAATATGCTTGTTAATTTTTTCCTTAGAGATAAATTACTTCGATTATGAGCAATGATGGAATTGGACAATATCCGATTGAAAAACATTTGTACAATTGGAATTGAACTAATTGGAAACGTCCACTCCAAGTCAAATTGTATTTGGACACTAATGGAATTTGTAATAAGTTCACTTTTGTCCAATATTTTTGGACTATGTCCAATTGTCTGGACCAATTAACATGCAAATGCATTATCTGATGAAGGTGATGATAATATAAATCAATGTTATAAAAATGATTGAAGAGTATAGTTTCAAGATGGATAAGTATGCTAGAAAATTATTCAGATTCAGAAGAGGCACGCAGAAAATAATAATATTATCCTATCTCCCTATAGATAGAAATACTAAATGAAAACTTCATATTTTTGTTTAAGGGTTGGAAGAACCTCCCTATTTGTCAATGTCTAGACAGATAGTTAAAATCAATAATATGCCTAAATAACAATTAATAAAAATAATAAATTTAAATAAATTTGAAATAAATCATTAAAAATAAATGGAAAACCAATAGTCCAATTAAATTTGGACTTGGAATGGTCAAGTCAATTAGTCCAATAGTCCAATAGTCCATTGGTCCAAAATGAGATGCAATGACGTTATAATGGTAGGCCACCATCTAAATAAACCAAAATGGTCGCTTGTAGAAGAGATATCACACTGGTCAAAGCGGTATGGTTTCTATTATGGAAACCTTGGTATACGTAATTGAAACTTGTCCAATTTACATAAAATTTCCATAACATTTCCACAAAAACTGGAAACTTCGTTGAAATCTGGCGTTCGACCTGTGTCAATTACATTTCATACAAACCTAGTACTAATTATATTTCGAATAAACCATTTACTCTGTACTATGAGGATGTAACAATTACTAAAAGATCACCTCGTAAGATCCCACATATAAATGAATTTCTCCTAAAAGGAGTACAGCGATTATCTTTGAAGATCTTTATTCTGATCTTCCATCTGTACGGAGACAGATAATCCGTTCTTTTTAAGTGGACATCATAACAACATTTCACTAATTTATGTTACGCAAAAATATCAGTGTGTACCAAAGGTTATGAAGATATTTCTAGGATTGTACATCAGTATGTGAAAGATCAATGAAAATAAAATATATTTTTGAGAATGTGAGTCTATTGTTTTTGACTTAACCAGGCCTGAAATAGATAAAATACCTGAGTTAAGTAGACCATCGGTTGTGGGTTAACCCAGTTTTGCTTACTCCAGAAGAGAAGAGATCTTCTTCATCAGCCTGGACATAATTCTCACAATTGCCAATTAAAGAGAAATTGGAAATATTTAGTAATTTTTTGTGTAAATATTTCAAAAATTCCGCTATTTTAGGTTTTCGGTAAAATTACTAAGTGATTGTAGATCATCCAATCACATGGTTTTTACTTACAAACAATAAATCTATGGCAAATTCCAAAATAAAATTAGAATTATTACAACAATCATAATTACAATGTTTATTAAAACTACTACAAGTTTATTTATTATTAAAAGTTCTTTTAAAAAAAAAAAAAAATAATAAAAAAAAAATAAATAAATTATTTAAATTACATACTAAGAAATTTGCAAGTTATTTGTTACTCTAGTCTTAGTGTTTAAACAATTGAATATAATTCATAATATAAAAAAAAAGTTTGAAAAATAGTAATACTTAATAATAAATTTTTAGGATGTCCTAATTTTTTAGATACATTACCAGAAATTTCTAATTCATCTTGCTTTTCATCATCATCATCTATAAAGCAAGAACAAAATTATAAATTATTATTTTCCACTATTGCTATAAAATACTAAAAAAAAATAATATACCATTTATATCCAAACTATGCTTTTTTGTTTGTTCTTTTTTATGATCATCTTGCATAACTAAAAAAAAGTTTATTTTATTAAAATAACCTTAATTAAATAACATTATAATTAAGACTATAATTATACTAATATGATTCACTTACCATAATTTGAATTGATTTCTAATTTGTCAGATACTTTAAAATAAATTAATTAACTTTTATTAAATATTCAAAGTAATATCAAATTTAATAATAAGCATTTACCTTTATATTCACTTGATTCTGTGTTAACATTTTTCTCATTATTTAAATTATTAAAATCACCAACTAAAAATATAAAAAAAAATAAATAAAATTAAAATTAATTACATATTAATTTATTTATTTAAAGCTAAGAATACCTACCATTATTAGGAATGTTCAAATTATAAGGTTAACTATGGAATGCTATATAATTATCACATATATATTTAGAATAAAATTAAATGTTAAATATTAATAAATTATTGTATATACCTTCTTGTTCTTCTATTTTTGTATTTTTATTTGAAAAATATTAATGTTAATATATTATTAAATATAATATTATAATATATTTCAAAATGATACTACTACCTTCTGTTGCATTTTTTGGTTCAGGAAACTGAAATTTTCAAATTGATAAATTTTACTAGTATAATTTATGTTTTGTTGGATCAGTTGAATTACTTAATTGCTTATGTTGATCGGAAATTATTTGTTTTTGGCTATCATCTTGATAGTTTTGAAATTTTAATAACTTATGTACTTCTTTTATTAATGTACAAGCATTAGGTCTCTTTGTTGAATCAGCATCCCAACACTGTTCCATTAATTTCTTATATTCTAAATGAATTCCTGGTACTATTTTTGGTCTCATTCCGTTATTATTTTCATTGCAAGATCATAATTATGCTTATAATTAATAAAGGGTGGTTGTCCAGATGAAATTTCCCACATAAGTATACCAATACTATAAATATCAGATGCATAAGTGGTTTTTTTTTCAGTAATTATATATAAGGAAGATTTCCATATACACTATTTAGTGGTTTATCAACAGGTCCACAAAATCCAAGATCACTAATATGGAAACTTTGGTTAATTTTACCACCATACAATAGATTTCCAGAATGCAAATCTCGCTCTATGAATTACATTTTCATTATGAATGCTGTAAATCCCATCTAATATGTCATAAGCAATTTGTATCCTTTCTTTCCATACAGATTATTATAACTTTGCTTTAGATATGTTCTTAAATCCATTTCCATTTTATTCATTACATTACCACTTGATGGATTTTTCGTTAAACCAAAACATTGTACTACATCTGCCCATTTGTTATTTATAGTTAAATAAGATTTGCTCTAAAAAAATTATATAAAAATCGTCAACAAATTTCAAAAATAATAATACAACATTTTAATTACATACAGTACCTCTTCAAACCAACTTTTATTAGTATTTACATTATATAACTCTTTAAGTATTACATATTGGTCTCCAAATATTGTTAATTGCTTTTCTTTAGAATCCCATTCATGATATCCTCCGTCTATCCAAATTGCTGTGTAAATTTCAGAATATTCTTTTCGGTTGAAATGTTTCCATATGACATTTTTGTATTAAATCATTAATGTCATTATTTTCAGATGACCAGTTTGAAAAATTTTCTTTTAAATAATTTCGAACACAAATGTTCAAAATATAATGTTGCTAAACATTCATCTTGAACAATTTTCACAAATTCTTTTTGTTCCTTTATTATCTATAATTTTATGAATGTCATATGCTTCATTTAACATTTTTATTATTTCTGATTTTTCATTCAGCAAGAGCAATTTTTTTTCTAGATTCATATTGTTTATCCGAATAATCATTTATATTGGGATCTAATAATGCATAATGCATATGCTTTATTAAAAGCAGCCCAAACAACATCTTCTCAAATATCATTCATAATATGATTTTTTTAATTTTGTAAAAAAAAAAGTCTCGAAATTTTGAAAATGAGAAAGTTGTGTACAGTTTCGAATTGTTGTGCAAATATATTGTGCATAAATTCATAAATTTCGAATTTGTGCAATTTGTACACCTGTGCAACCTGTACAACAGAATAACACATGGTCAACAATAAAGTAAAACGCTTGAAATTCATTATAATTACAAAAGATAATAAAAGAGAAGTTAATTTAAGAAGCAATGAAATAATTGAACGAAAAAATAATTGGAAGAATTTTAATCCGAAATTATACAAATACGGTTTATATTCAAGTTAAATTTATTGAAACAAAATGAAAGTTAAGTGCTTTTGCTAATAAAAAATTTTTAAAAAAAGTTTTATTACTATTATCAAGTTTTTAATGAAACATACAATATTTTCTGTATAATAAAAGGTTTGGAAATGAAAAAAGTTTTTTTAACATTATTATTAAGGTTAATATTTATGATAAAAGTTTTGAAATATTACAGATTCATGATCGAGTATTGTTATTTTAAGAACTTGAATTTTTTTTTCTACTTGTTGTTTATTAAAAGGGTAAAATACTTACTGTACAATGAAAATAAAAAATGTAAGAATTTTTCATGATAATTTTTTATTCAAAATTTCTTTTATAAATGAATAAATAAATGTTATATATTCCAAATTTTATCAAAAACATGAAAATGAAAATTATATTTAAAAACGAAAGTAAATTGTATTTATTTTTTAAATATCATTGCGGAATACAACCTTTTGTTTAAAGTTTAATTTATTTATTACATAATTTCAAAATTAGAGACCATTTATAGAAACTTTTGGTATTAATCTATTAAGACACGATAGATTGAGTTTCATACAGAGATAAAATAATAAATCAACAACCCAAAAATAGAAATCAACTCTTTTTTTTTTAAATACGTGTAATTATGATTTTATCTTTTTGTAACCAAGAGAATTATTTTCTAGCGTGGGAATTTAAAACCGGAAGTATACTGCACATCATGTGATCACTATGTTCGTATACACACAAGATATTTATATAATTGGTGTATTCTATAACTGTATAGCATCCAAAATGTTTCAAATAGGTCTTATATATACAATGAAAACTATTTAGAAATAGCTTCAATTGTCCATAATAAAATATGATAATTTATGGTCGATATTTTACCTTTTAATAGATAATAAAAATTTATTGCAGACATAATGAAAAAACTCGTGAAACATTAAGGTAATAAAGACAATAATTACATTAACGTCATCAGTAATACAAAGGTCTTTCTTTCTATATAAAGCAATATTGTAATTCCGTCTCTAATGACGATTGTTATATTCAAAAAATTACAAAAAGCAGTTTGAAAACCTATTGTAAGCTAAATTTTAATGATACCTTATTGCTATATTTTTTTCTGCCAAAGTAGACTTGCAAAACAGGTAAAAACTCATTATTATGTTAAAATCGTATCGAAGATTTTATTCGTAACAACTGCACGTGCAATTTTGGGCAGAATTATAAATGATCGGCATTGCGGATACCTATGTTGTGCCCCAAATCTCAATATGCCCCAAATTGACGATAATCATCGATGATTACTATATGTGAAAAGTAATGCTTTGAAAATTCTTAAGGCATTATAAAAATTGGCCGATAATTTAGGCCGATCGTTGATTTGGGGCAATCGTCAACTTGGGGCACAACACCTATATTAAGTAATGCCAACCTTTTAATGCAGAAATTTTTTCGGGTGGCTGTGCCACAAACCTAGACTCATGAGCAACTTCATTATTGTGAAAAGGTAATATGCAAAATCATTTTAGTGTAACATTATAATATTAATTAAATTATCATAATATTAGTTTGTTTTCTATCAAAGAAGATGAAGAAATTTTTTGTAAAAGAATTCTATGAAATTATCTCGGAACCTATTAAATTAAAAGAAAAACAATGTATCACAGTGCAACATGTTGAATTACCCGAGGTGGATGATGAATTGTCAGTGACACTACGAATAAAGCTTAAGAGTCATTATTCTGATTGGGCCACTATTTTTCGTAAAGGTAGGAACGTTTATTAGATTATTTTTTTTTTTATGTTTAAAATTACGTTTAAATTGACTACACTTGAAATACATTTAGGTGGTGGTAATGAGAGAGAAAGACTTGTACGAACGCCTGGACTTTTCTTACATGCAAATAATTCCAAATTATATCCCCGTTTCACGGGTAACTGGAATGATAATGTAGGAATTAACACAGTTGGGGACAGACTTTTGTTAAACAAATGGTACCATATAACTTACACACTTTCTGATACTGAAAAGAGAATGGATATCTTCATAAATGGTGTATGGACCGCATTCTATGCTATCGAAAATGTTCAAATGCATAGAGTTAAATTCAATGATAAGCAGTTGGATATTGGGTGGTGCGTTGATGGCGAAATCAGGCATGATTTTTCATAATAATTTTCATAAATTAAAAAATTTTTGTTTTAAATAGCCATTTTTATTAAAATAGCAATTTTCGTTATTTTAACTGGCGTCTATCTAACGAAGAGGTGATGAAAAATTACCTGGTATGGCACATCCATACTGTTACATACAATTATTTGTTGTTCATAGTAATTATATTTATATGTGTAATATATTTTTAAATATATTTTAATCTTTCAAATTATTTAAATTTAGAACCAACGACCATTCTGTTGAGGATCAAAAAAAAAGGAAGAAAAAGGAAATAAAATTTACAATGAATATTAACAAAAACGTCAATGTGTGATTTATAGCTTATTTAGTTTTTAATAAAGCTGATTTTCTTTTTACCGTATAAAATGAACAAATTTGTTAAAATTAGACTATGTATTCGCATTATTTTTACTATAAAGTTTTGCTCAATAAATTTTATCAATGGAATATTTATATCTAATATATATTCGGTTTAATAAATATCTTGTGTATATTTTCTTATTGCAAACTTCTATTAAAATAAATTACTCTTATTTTTTAAACAATTAACATTTATATTTTGTATTGATAAAATTATTAAATTTTATGTTCTTTTTTATAACTTAAATTATAAAAACAAATTAATCTTCAAATAACAAAAAAATTCTAAAGTCAATACTTAAAGAATATTAGACGTTAAAAGTTTTTTTTTTTATAATTTGAAATATTTAAAATATTTAATATTTATAGGAAATTATTTAATTCGATTTTCCATAAAAATTGAAACCATTTAACATTACCAACATTAATTTGGATTAGTCAGCATTTCTGTAATACCAATCCATTTTAATCCATTTTAAATAATTTGATATATTATTCAACCGAAATTTCTATATAAGGTTATAATAGAGAAGTTTAAAATATTTTGTACAATTATTAATTATGCATTTTTCAAACTAGAATTTCATTTTAAAAGTCACTTCAAATAAATGAGTCCAAATCTTTTTAAAATCAAAAACTTTAACTTTCAGGCTCATCTGTATGTGATTATTTAATATAAGTTTCGCAGGATAATTTTAGACACTGAGTATAAACTAACGCTACTACTATTTTTCCTAGTATCTTAGAATTAAAGTCATTAATTTACCAAAATATTTTTGAAGTTTTGATAATAAATTCATTCTTAAATTATTTAATATTAATATATCAGATTTTATATTTTATTTATTTATTTATTTTATGTGAAGACGGACAGACTATTAACAGGACATATACGTAACCGTGCTATCCTACTTCTAGCTATCATCCCCCCGAGGACGGACCCGAACTTCTTTAAATCCTACGAACCAGGATGATCCCCTCCCCTACCAGAAAGGAACCAATGAACCGAAAGAAAGAAAATGATTAAGGACACTGACAAAATATTAAGAAGTTGTGGCAATCTACACATTATAAATAGCAAAACAATCATAAAATGATCCGTATTTTTCTTTCAACCCATAGGGTCGCCACCTGTAAATACTGTCATAGGTGGAATGATTCACACTATTCTAAATTGTTTGGGATATAAAAAGTAAACGTAATTTGTACATAATAGTACTACATATAAAACGAAACTAAAAAGATGTAGAAAAATCTACTTGTAAAAAAAAAAAAATTTTGGTTAAAATAAACGTAAAAAAAAAACTAAAACTTAATCCTTGAAGGACCTGCAACGGCAGTGGTATCAACTGAAACTTCGGACGGACGATTCCGTTTGTGACGATTTTCATCTGTATGAAAAAAATTATTAGCTACTAACGCTGTATTGCGTTTTTTAGGACGATATTCCAACTCTTTGGTGTCATCTGACGTTATTACTTTCTGCTTTTCTTTTTCTTTGCGAATCTTGCGAGTGGCTTGCTTTGATCTTTCATTAAAATTAACCCCACTATTATAATATAATTCAAAAGATTCCATTTCCGCATTGAGTTCTGCGTATCTGATGGCGTCTTTACCTTTCAGAGGTGTGGTAGTGAGATAGTTCATTCTCTCATGAAAGTGTCTGGTTTTGCCTGTCAGCATTTTACTAGCATGTCTTCTACGTGATAAGGTGTGGACACTGGTGCCATAATATTGGGCTTCAGCTTTAATCGCTTGTTCTTTTTGGAGTAATTCTCTCGTTTCTCTCTCACGTTCTTGTTCCGATTGAAGTAAATATTTACGTTCCTGGCTAGTTGTAGCTGAAGAGATCCTGCGATGAAGGTTACACATATATGTGAACCATAGACGAGAACCAGGCCTTATGTAATCTCCTGTATCTGTGTAAAGAGGATCTTTAGGGATAATGTCCCTGTATTTATAGGGTATAAACATATCTGGGTAGGGATCATATTCTCGAACCCAAGGTTGGTCACTAGAAGGAGATATCTCAGGAATTAAATGGTTATATCCTCTAATAACGGGTCGACCAGCGCGTGAATCAGCGTGATTTGTTGTCTTGTAGTAATGAGGCGTAGAAAAACCATAGTCCTCTGAAACTAAACCGTGATTATATTTCAAATGTTTCACCGGTTTGTTGATATATTGAGATTTTAGGAACAAAAAACGATATCGTTGCACTGTACGTAACCTATGCCTATTAGGGTCGGGAATGTTTTGCTCTTTAGTTTTAAAAACCCGTCTACATGCTCGGAGAAATCGGGTTTCCTGCTTTTCCTTAACTTTGAGACAGTTCGATTGCTTGAGCTGAAAGTCAGTAAGACGTTTTCTATACATATGTTTATTACCATATTCTAAAACAGATTGAACATCTCTAGCGTGTATCGCTTCTTGATATGATATACCTAGTCTGTTTGAAAAGACTGATTTTTTGGTGCGGTTTTTCCATCGGTCGTAAATCAAATTAGCATGAAGAGCTTTACTATTAACTATGCCATCCGGATTAGATACAGAATCTTTTGGTTTGTGAAACAATTGTTCACTAAAGAATTGTCGTTGATGTGTAACACACGCTCGTCTATGTTTTGACATAACAAAAGGAACAGGTATATTACATATATGCGGGGTTGAAGAAAATGAGTGGGTAAAGCCATGTTGACAAGGGGTGTATATCCCAAAATGAAAACGATATCGTTTATAAGTAAAATAGAAAAAAGTCTTCGTAATACGATTTCTTTCGATATTACTATGATCACGTGAATAGACCATCAAGTGTCGAGCCAATAATTTATCTCGTATATAGTTAAAATATTTTTGTTGAATACCGCGTGGTAGCACTCTTTGTGAGGAAAAAAAGTGTGTGAGCATACAACTCATTTGGTATTTGGCGTTCGGAATTGTACTTGTGTTATTATAACTAATCAGTTTAGTGTTCATGTGGTAATCATTTGTGTGTATCTTGAGATGAATATCATTGGTGTTCTGAGGATGATCATCTAACTCAAAAAAGAAACTTCTTGAACGTCGGATTTCATAAATCCTGTTATATCCAGATCGTCGTGGAGAAGTCACGTGAAATTTGGAAAAAGAGATCTTCAAAGGATTATTTTTCCCAGGCGAAGAAGATTTTTCTATAGTACGAGAAGGCCTTAATAAACGTGGGCGTTTAGTCCTTTTTTTCTTTTCAATAGGTAGTATCACCGGAAGAGAAGATATCGTATCCTTTAAGGGTTCAGGAGGTGTAACAGGAGCTCGTGAAGGTATTGGAGTAATGAGAGAGAGGTTAGAGAAGTCATTCTTATTCTCATAAACGGGGCAAATATCTCTAAAGTCCGCGGCGTCTGCTCGCGGAAAGCCTTTCATATCTTGAGTATTGTATGTGAGAACTAAAACCTTGTATACGACCAAGGCGCCCAATTGGGCCTCTATCCCCTTGACGTTTCAAATAGAAACTAAAAAAAATAACTTGCGCTATATTACTGCGGAAAATTAACAAAAATAAAAAAAAGGGCATCAGATTTTATATTATTGTTTGATGAAAATAAATTATACAATAAATAGTTCCTCACATGATCTTGAGTTAACCTGCAATATGGACAAGACAATAATACTATTTGATTTGTATAAAATTTTCCGCCATTATAATATCTAAAACCGTTTAATTAAATTGAAATTTCATTATAAGACTAAATTAAGTTGGTGTATAAATTCTATTGATACATTTTCGTAATATGGTTATTATTAAAATTATACATTTATATTTTACTTATGAAAACTGTCATGTAGTAGATAATCCTTTATCTGTCTATGAACTTAGCCTGAGATTGGAGAGAATATTCCCGTTTTCTTTTAGAAATTGTAATAGGTGTTGACTCCAGGTACTAGCGAAAGCTATATAATTGCGATCGTGTAGTTAGAATTATAGTTCATACGATTTTACAATATTGATTTTATAAATTAGTCAATAACTAGTAAAATAATGAGCTTAATTTACACAAAAAAAAAAAAAATTTAATATATAATTTTACCAAAAATAATAATCGCCACCACCACATGAACTTACCCAATGAATTATCTAACATGAACGCGAACATGGATGCGACGTTGATAATGAAAAAGTGGGAAAACTCTAAAAAATAGATAAAAAATATTTTATTAAAATTTTTTTTTTTTTTTTTTTGGAAATAATTTATTTAATGAAATTACATTATTAGATGAACTTACCTTCAAGATAAAATCTCTGGTTCGAATTCTATCCCAATTTTCAAAATAAAAAAAAACTGGTTTAATTTAAACAATACAAAGACAAAAATCATTACAAACCATTATTTATCTCTGTCTAAAAACTAAATAAAAAACTTTAAAACTAAAAAAAAAGTGGAAGCCGCCATACAAAGCCCACCTTAACCATATTTCTAATAAAGAAGACGTCCAAATAACCTAAAGATTTATATACATAAAGAACAAAAAATTTACTTGGCTAAAAAAATGTGAAAGTGAGATTAAAGAAATTGCTTAAAAGAAAAAAAAAAGATCATGCTAATAATATAGGACCGGTTATATAGGACCGAATGACCGAACGTCGAACTTACTGCGCCATAAATCCGGTCCTACGAGTCTTGCCGGTCTACCATCTTTAGTTGGGTAACTTTATAATAAAATTAATATAAATACAATGTAAAATTAAGGTAATAATCTTCTTACCTAAAGTTCATAGACTTGAGGATCAAGATGAAATGATGTACCATATTGCCCACTATAATGAGAAGATAAGTTAGATTTTGAACGTGTTCGTCTTCTTGAAGTTGGTGAGTATCTGCCTGTTCTAACGATGTTTTATAAATAGATATCTTTGTTTGATTTGGTTATGCCTTTCTTAATCCTAATAATATCTAATATGTAACTTTTATCACACATGAATGAATTATATAACATGAAAACACGTGCTGTAATATGAAACTCCTGTGACATGCTGCGCCCGATCTATTCGAAATTTTTTTCAAACCGAAAATTTTTTTAATATTTTTAACTTTTGGTTTTTTTTTAAACCAAAAAAATTCATTCTATCACTATTTAGGTTTAGATTGATGCAGGGCCACGAGTAAGCGTTGTTTCTTTATTTTTTTTCCCTTAATAATTTTTTTTTTTCGTCCCTTTGTCTCTCAGGTATTTTTTTGATCAGGAAGAATCATTAATTGAAATTAATATATACTTTTTTTGTTTAAATATTATAGTTTTTTAATTAGAATAATTATAAATACATTAATTAAATTAGTATATTATTATTATACAGTAATTATGATAAATTTAAGTATTATTTGTAAAAAAATAAATAGTATTAAATTTCGAACAAAATATGATCGTTGTGATTAATTATATCTTTAACTCAAGCAAGTTTTCCATTTTTTTCTTGAAAAGTATTTATCTTTAAAAGTTTTTGGAACATTTATCATCTATGTTAGGAATGTACCCAAATCAGTTATATCTATTTAAAATATAGCATAAATAATAAATGAATAATTGATGATTTATTCAAATTAATTTCTTTATTAATAAAATAAAAAATATACCATCCTAATAGAACCATTTACTTCAATTGAAGGTTGAGGATTACGTGCATGTGTAATTATTAATTATTGATAGCTGATACTTAGTAATCCAACCTAATTCTTCAAGTTTACCACATATTTATATCAGAATCCTATACTAATTAACATCATATATTACTAATTTAAAAGCAACATTTTTTAATATAAAAAAAGAATTTTAGCAATTAATATAAATTTAGCGTAACATTTTTTAATATTTATTTTTCAAATAACATAATCATACTTATTACCATTTTGTATGGGAAAGTCTAAATAAAGTCCTTCATTTAGAATATATCATCTTAAGCTTATCATTTAAATTTGCTAATTTTAATATAAAGTAAACTTGTGGTTTTAACATAATTCATTATTAATTAATATATATTGATTATTATTCACTTTAGAAGTCAATGAATTAAATATTCTCCTATTTTCATACGTATATTTACTAAATCCATAAACAATTCCAAGATTAGAAAAATCATTATTATTATTAACATTCAAAATTCACTCATTCTTTTAATAAATAAATACATGAAATATATGAAGTAATATAAATCCTATTATGATATATAAATGTGTATAACAATTGCTTTGCTTCATAGTACATTACTAGTAATTCTATATATATTTTACATTTAATTAAAAGTAGTAATTTGTTATCTTTAATATTTAATTCTGTAGAATTATTTTTATTCAGTAAATATTCTAAATTAAATAGTTGAGATTCTATTAATATATCATCAGATAATAATATCTTTTATTGTATACTGATAATATGAGAGATAATGTGCTAAACTATTTAATGGTTCCAATTGTATAACTTTATTAAGATCAAACAAAACATTGTCATATTCTTGAAAAATATAATACACAATAGTTCTTTTACTTAAATTATGAATATTCCTTCTTTTTTCAGTTTGTCTTTCTGAATTTTTTCTTCAAATTTATTTTTGCAGTTTTTTTTTAAAACTGAAATATTTTTTCAATTTTTATTTCAGATTTTTTTAAACTGATTTTTTTTAATTTCTTTTTTCAGTTTAGTTTTACAAAACTGAAAATTTTTCTTTTAATTTGGTTCTTTTTAAACCAAATTTTTTTAATTTTTTTTTTCCTCTATAATATGATATACTATTTTTTTATAATTTTTTCATTTAATTTTATATACTGTATTTTTCTGTTATTGTTATATGAGTACATTCTTTTTTTTAGACTTGAATCTAAATCAGTGATCGGATTGATATTGCAGCGTTATAGTAAGCCTTTTTTCAATCCTCATTTTCAATAATAATTTTTTTTTGCTAATATTTTTTCATTCTTTCACCTTTTAGATTTGGATCAGTGAATGGTTAGATGCTGTGGTGCTATGATAAGTACTGTACCTTCGATTTTTATTTTAATAATATTTTTTTTCCTAATTATTTATTTACTAGTATTTTTTTTCTTTCTATTTTTTTTTCGATCTTTCACCTTTTAAGTTTGGGTCAAGATCAGTGCTGTCTAAAGTTTTAAAATATCAGCTTAAATTGAAGTTTATTTATAATAAATAAAATGGAAAATATAACAAATGAAAGCAAATGAAAAAAATAAAACAGTATTAATTTAAAAAAATTTAAAAAAAAAACAGTCATAGGTGGTTAATTATATCTTTCAGCTCAAGCAAATTTTCCATTTCTTTTCTTGAAAAATACTTATCTTTAAAAGTTTCTGGAACATGTGGACAAAATTTATGAAAATTTGGTAATAAATCACCTATGTTAGGAATATAAGTTATCTCTTCCTTATTATACCCACTTCGAACATAATCTATTTGCTATAATAAATAAATAATGATGAGTTACTAAAATCAATTTTCTTTTAAATAGAAAATTACAAGTAAAATAGAAATATACCATATTAATAGAACCATTTATTTCAATTGAAGGTTGTACATAAACTTCTTTTACAATTATTGGAAGCTGATATTCAATCCAATCTAATCCCTCAAGTTTTAATACATCTTCATATTTTAACACATGTTCATAATGTTCTAGTTCAGAATCCTTATACTGTTTAGAATCCTATAATAAATCCATATATTAATTAAAAATAACATTTTTAATAGTGAAAAAAGAGATTTTAGCAATAAATAAAACTTACAGTGCTTTTAATTATAAATTTTATAAAGCAATATTTATTTAATATTTCTTTAACATTTATTTTCCAAATAACACTAGAACACCAATTAAAATATAGCATGGGTAAATTCAAATAAAGCTCTTCATTTTTTGAACTTATTATCTTTTCTGATAAACTAAGAAATTCAAAGTTAAAACATTTACCACAATTTTTGAAAATTTTAAAATATATAATAAATACATCCACTTACCTATTTATATCATTTTCTTGAAGTTGATGAAGTTTGCTATTTAAATTTATCAGATTTGATATAAAATAAACTTGTAATTCTAAAATAATTTATTGCAAATAATCAAATAAGATTAATTATTAAATATTATAAGAAGTTAACAAATTAAACATTCTCTTACCATTATACATGTATTTACTAAATTCATTAACAATTCCAAGTTCGGGAAGATCATTATTGTTATTATTAACATTTAAATATAACCAAAAATCTGTGTATTCTCGTAATAAATAAATAAATGAAATATATGAAATATGTTGATAAGTATAAAAAATTTTATCATATAACAAGTTCAAGTCTAACATTGCTTCATAATACATTTTTAATTCTACATATACTTTGCATCTAACTAAAATTGGTAATTCACTATCTTTAATATTAGATATTTGATTAATTTTTGTTAATATATTATTTAATTCTGTAGAATTATTTTTATTCAGTAAATATTTCAGATGAAATAGTTGAGTTTTTGCTAATATATCATTAAAATCTAATAATTCTTTACACTTTTTAAATACCATTATAGCATTATCAATATCTTTTTTTGTATAATAAATTATACACTTGAGATAATATGCTAAACTATTTAATGGATCTAATTGTATAGCTTTATCAAGATCTAATAAAACTTTATTATAATCTTGAAGAGTATAATATGCAATAGCTCTCTTATTTAAATTATGAGTATTTTCTGGATCAATAATATTTGCTTTTGTAAAATATAATATAGCTTTACTATATTGTC